GCGCCTCCGCACCTCAGGCGCTGACACCATCAGCATCCAAGGCTGCACTCTCCACCTCTCAAAGCCAGTCAGGAACCTCGGCGTTTTGTTCGACCCTGAGCTGTCCTTTCTCCCTCACATCCGCACCACAACTGGCACCGCCTTCCATCACCTCCGGAATATCGCCAGATTACGGCACTACCTCACCCCTCACGCTGCTGAAACCCTGGTTCACGCCTTTGTCACCTCAAGGCTGGACTATGGGAACTCTCTCCTCGCCGGCCTTCCCGCCACCTCCCTCCACAAGCTGCAGGTCATTCAGAACTCTGCAGCTCGTGTACTGTCCCGCACCAGGCTTCGCGATCACATCACTCCCACCCTCGCTCGCCTCCACTGGCTCCCCATCCCCCAGAGGATTGATTTCAAGATCCTCATCCTCACCTACAAGGCCATTCACGGCCTTGCTCCCTCCTACCTCTCCAACCTACTATCCCCCTACCTACCTGCCCGTACCCTCCGTTCCTCTGGCTCCGGTCTGCTCCACGTCCCCCGCCCCAACCGCCCTACTATCGGTGGTCGGGCCTTCAGCCTCTCAGCCCCGAGGCTCTGGAACTCCATCCCCCAGTGCCTTCGCCTTGCTTCCTCCCTTTCCTCCTTCAAGGCCGGTCTCAAAACCTTTCTCTTTGACCGTGCCTTCAGCTCCCCTCTCGACTCTCTTCCTCCTCCTCGCTCCCTCCCTTCCCTCCCCTCACCCTGACCATTTCCCCCCTCCTCTCTCCCTCCCTTCCCTCCCCTCACCCTGACCATTTCCCCCTCCTCGCTCCCTCCCTTCCCTCCCCTCACCCTGACCATTTCCCCCCTGCTCGGGTCATGACCCAACTGTGCAGCGCCTTGGGACGTCCTCCTGACGTGAAAGGCGCTCTATAAATGGAATCTTGTTGTTGTTGTTGTTGTTGTTACAGTGTTAATTTACTTCCTTCTGGAAATGTACGTAAAAGAGTTATAATTCAGACCCTCCCCCACCTCAAAAGAGGGCCAATCCACTCAGACAACCAAGACAATTGAGGAAATGATGAAAGAGACTTAATTTTAATAAAAATGACTCCTCTCCTCCCAAAAATCTCAGTAAAACACACAACTGGTTCAATTCCACATTCTGTGTTCTGTGTCCTATATACAGTATCTAAAAATACAAAGGAAGAATCAATTGGTTCCGTGTTCAAATTGTTGATCTGTATTTGTTCAGGATAGTATTCCATCCAAGTGTTAGGAGTTATTTCATAAAACTTTCCCTCGTATTTTAAGTTTGTACCTTATTGTTGTGTTACTTCTGTTTAACCCTTGACAGACGTACCGCAAAATCTATATTTGTATGGTACTATTTATCCTTGAATTCTGTACAGGGCACACACCATCACTTGTCAACCACAACACGAGTGTTTGGTATAGTTTGGGTTCTTATCTTACAGTATACTAAGAAAGCAAAACTACACATGCAAACTAAGTTGCGTGTTAGCATTATGTAAGGACGTAATTTCAATATTTCCAAAAGGATCCATTTGTTCCGTAAGTTTAAATTGATGAAACAATTTCAAATTGATTTGTTTTGAAAATTGATGACAATAATTCTTATTGACGGTGTTTCCTACAACAGGCACCAGAGGGAGCATTTTGTTTTTGTATAACAATGTATAACAATTGTAACCACACCAGTCCAAAGTGAGTAATTAAATTCTGCTTTCCAAAAGTGAAATAAAAGTTTTAAACAAGCCGTGTCCATTACTGTTTCCATTAGTATTTACCAGGGAATAGATGAACTAAACGTCAAATAGCTTTGTTCTGGTACATCTCAAACATGTGGAGTTTTGTAGCTTAGTGGTTAGAGCATTCGCCTCGCAAGCGAGAGGACCGGGGTTCGATTCCCAAGGAGGGCGAAACCTTAGGCAAGTTTTCTTACTCCACACGCCTGTTTACCAAGCAGTAAGTAGGAACCCGGTTGTTAGTCAATTAGTGGATTGCTTTTCCCAAGGGTAATAAAATAATCCCTCCAAAAAAAATGTTTTAAAAATTTGGTCCCTTAATCCACAACTGTTTATGGAGCCCTGCTGTGCACAATTGGCTGCTGTGTTTCACCCACAGATATAAGGTCAATTTACTTTGTGATATATTCTTTGAAGTGCTTTGAAACGTTTCGAAGATGTGATAAGGCGCTATATCAAATGCAAGGATTATTATTATTAACTGTCTTAAAGTGAACGACCAATTTTATCTGGATAATTATTAACGCCCTTATCCTTTTGAATTGTCCATGAAATCTTCATCGTTCACCTGAACAGCTAGATAGTATTTCAGTTTAACTTCTCACCTGAAGGATGGTACATCTGACAATTCATCAACTAGACTACATGCTAAAAGACCACACAGGTTACCAATGAGCTAAGATGCCATCTCTAATGCCTCAGGTTTTATCAATTTATTGAACACTTGCTGATGTGGGGATACCAAGACACCTTCCTCTCTCACTAATACATATTTCTCTATTTACTTTACAACTGTACCTAGTATCTAGTACTGGTATCTATTTACAGCTCCTACTCATCGAAAATACACTACATATATATTAAATATGCTCTAATAAATAACTAAACAAACAATTAAGCAGAAACTAAAATAAAGTTTATCTAGCTCCTTATCACTCCGATCTTCTCCTACCCGCTCCTTTGCTTGCCCCTCTACTCAGCAAACTGTGGCTTGCTGCATGTTTCTCACCCTCTCTTGAGCCTTCGTCGATAACCAAGCCTTCGGAGTCTACTCTTTTAGCCTCTGGAATACCCACCCTCTACCCCTCCATCTCGCCCTGTCTCCACACACCCACAACTTACATGCCACCTCTCTTCAACCACTCATGGCAACATTTGCCTTCTCTCATTTGCACGGCACCTACTGCTCGTCTCCACTGGCTTCCCATCCTCCAGAGGATCGAATTCAAGATCCTCATCCTCACCTACAAGGCCATTCACGGCCTCGCTCCCTCCTACCTCTCCAACCTACTATCCCCCTACTTACCTGCCCGTACCCTCCGTTCCTCTGGTTCCGGTCTGCTCCACATCCCCCGCCCCAACCGCCCTACCATCGGTGTCTGGGCCTTCAGCCTCTCAGCCCTGAGGCTCTGGAACTCTGTCCCCCAGTGCCTTCGCCGCTTCCTCCCTTTCCTCCTTCAAGGTCGGTCTCAAGACCTTTCTCTTTGACGGTGCCTTCAGCTCCCCTCTCGACTCTCTACCCCCTCCTCGCTCCCTCCCTTCCCTCCCCTCACCCTGACCATTTCCCCCCTGCTCGGGTCCTGACCCAACTGTCCAGCGCCTTGGGACGTCCTCCCGACGTGAAAGGCGCTCTATAAATGGAATCTTGTTGTTGTTGCTGTGTTTTGCCTACAAAATATAGTCAATTCACTTTACAGTATGTTCCATGAAGCGCTTTGAGGGGATTCAAAGACGTGATAAGGCGCTATATCAAATGCAAGGATTATTATTATTATTATCCCATCTTTGTACAGTGCTCAAAGCTTTACACTATGTGGAGGATGTGGAGTCCTGTAGCTCAGTGATTAGAGCACTCGCTTTGCAAGTGAGAGACCTGAGTTCAATTCCAGGCAGAGGGCGAAACGTTGGGCAAGTTTCCTTACTCCACACAGAGCCTAATAATAATCCCTCCAAAACAAAAAACAATAATAAATTGGTCATTTTCAATCTACGATTGTTCATGGGACATTGATGTGCACAATTGGCTGCCGCGTTCGCCCACAAATATACAGTCAATTCACTTTACAGTGTGTTCTGTGAAGCGCTTTGGGACGTCCTCCCGACGTGAAAAGCGCTATATTAAATGCAAGGATTATTATTATTATGCTGTATGAATGCAAGTTGTATTGTTAATAGAAAGCCCAGCCACAACCAATTTTAAAATAATTATCAGTCCACCCTTTTGTTTGGTCAGCTAGCAAGAGCCAAGACTTGCAGACCAGTATGCGTTGGGGGTACTGCTGGAGTTTAACGTGTTTTTGAAAAACACGTAGCTTGCCACTGTGAACACCGTTTGGCAAGCTTTCCCGCTGCTTGTCCAGCTCGGACCACCCTAGCCATTAGGGCTTTGGATTGCGGGGTTAACAGGAGCTGAGTGGGAATGAATTCCTTCTCCGCAACTGGTTCTGGCTGATCTGTCACCAGCAGAGTATGGCGGACCCGCGCGGCTCACTGTGCGCTGCCGCCGCTCGATTTAGCTCCGGCCTCTGCACGTCCGTCGTCTCCTCCGTTCCACCGTCGGTGGCCGCGCCTGTCAGCCGGTAAGCCCCGAAACCTTGGAACACTCCTCCTCTATCCTTCCGCCCGACCCCTTCCTTCCCCAACTTCAAGTCGACGCTGAAGGACCTTCCTCTTCGGCCGCGTCCACGGCCACCTCCCCACCCCACCCCACCCCCCACCCCAACCCCACCCCGGCACGGCACGGCACGGCACGGCACGGCACGGCGGCCCCTCCGCCACGCGAGGGAGCGCTGTACACACACAAGTGGTTGTGGAGACCACCGGCAGAGGGTTGGCCGAATCCCGGCAATCTGTGGCCAAGTCCGTCAACCTGAAGCCGGGAGGAGGCAGAGGAGGAGGGACAACCTATTGACTGAATTTTGACCCAATCTGGACACGGGGGGGGGGGTCGGGGTGGGGGGGGGGGGGTGGGAGGGACGACGTCGTGCTCAGTGCGCCTGCGCTGGGCTGGGTCGGGACTGCGCGTGGGTGGGCGGGGAGCTCAGTGCGCCTGCGCTGGGCTGGGTCGGGACTGCGCGTGGGTGGGCGGTGAGCTCAGTGCGCCTGCGCTGGGCTGGGTCGGGACTGCGCGTGGGTGGGCGGGGAGCTCGGTGCGCACGCGCCGGGCTGGCTGGCTCGGAGCCGCGCGAGCGAGCGAGCGAGCGACCGTTACGCCGCACGTGACCCGCCCGCCCCTCGTGACTCGCCCTGCGCGCAGAGGCCGACGATGGCGGAAGTGGTTCGCTCCAAGAAACCTAAGCAGACGAGTAAAGCCCAGGTACAGGCAACGGCCGTGACCGCTCCTCACTCTCCCCCCTCCCGCGGCCCGCACCGGCGGCAGCGACCGCTTTCGCCGGTCTCCCCACCCCCCGACCCCCTGCGGAGACCCGGGCCCGCGGGGGGGGAACCGCTGACGAAGTAAACAAAACAAAACAGTCAGTCAGTGGTTTTGCAGGTGTCAGTCTCCTGTGTGTAATAAAGGTTTAGACTCCATGACAGCCAATAAGTTCAACAAATAGATGAATTCTGACATGATAAGGCGCTATACCAAATCCAAGGATTATTATTCTTATTAATAATATTCTGTTACATTGTTCCCTTTCCAGGTTCACTCCGCCCTCCGGCTTCGGTTTCAGTTTCAGTTGTGTTGTTTTGGCAGCGGTGGCAGCAGCCCTTTCTCTGAGCCTTTCCTAAGTGCCCGGTGTGCGCTCCGTGCCCCTTTGGCTGCACGGAATGAACCAACGGCGTGTTTGTGAAAAATAAAAGCGTGTTCATAAAGTAGGACAATCTGATTTTGGGCGCTGAAGGTTAATCATCATGTAAGCGGTGTGGTGGTCTTGTGCGGTGTATGCTAAAATATTTATTAACGTGAGGGATGTTACCTATACACATCAACCCAATTACAAGCAAAATGTTAATCGAGATCTCTTGGCTCGGACACGACTGACTTGAATCAGAGGGACAAATCACTGACAACTATAACCACTGACAGACTCGATTCTGACATTTCTTTGCCAAGTATGCCACCTTGTAGCCAGTTCAGCTCCGAGGAGACCCCACTTCTTTCAGAGTAGAAGATGATGGCGTAAAAATGGCGTGCGGTGTTGTGTATTGGAAGTTGCAACTTGTAGGAAATTAGACTGAGTTAAAAATGACAAATAAATATTGTTTATAGAGAGAGAAACATTTCGTGAAGATATTTTCTGCCTGTGATCTGTTGGTAACAGCGCACATAAGTAATCGGGCTGACCCATGCATTTCACCTTTTGAGTTAATGGTCAGCAGTATGAATTCATCTAGAACACAAGCATTTCATTCCTGACATTGATCTCAGAATGTGCAACGAGGAACATATTTGTAGAGCTGAAGGAGTATGTGGCAGAGGTGGTCCAGAGGAGATTGTAATAATCTAGCCATAGCAATAGCCTGGTGCAGTGGTAGCACTCTCACATCTGAGTCAGAAAGTTGTGGGTTTAAGATCCACGTCAAGATTTGGAATCACATAGCTTCAACTGACACTCCAATACAGTCCTGAGGGAGTGTTGCATTGTCAGAGGTGCCGTCCTTCAGATGAGACATTAAACTGAGGTACCATCTGCCTGTTCAGGTGGATGTTAAAGATCCTGTAGCACTACAGTTTCAAAAAGAGAAGGGAGTTTCTTCCTCCCTCCAATTCCATACATCCACTTCTGTACTGTACCATCCAAGTACTGTACAGGAGTGGAATCTTATCTAAAATCTCGTTTTAGATTTCATCTAAAATTCTATCTAAGATTTTAGGAATCACATCTAAAATCTCACGGCTCTCACCTCCTCCACCTACCCGACCTCCCCCTAAAACTCTCCGAACCCGAACGCAACCTAGACGTCAGGTTCGACCCCCAATTATCCTTCCTCTCCCATATCCGGTCCCTCACCAGCACCACTTTCTTCCACCTCCGACGGATCGCCCGTCTCCACCAATACCTCTCCCCAAAAGCCGCTGAAACCCTGGTCCATGCCTTTGTTACCTCTCGGCTGGAATACTCTTAACGCCCTCCTCACCAGTCTCCCATCCACCACTATCCATAAAATCCAAATCATTCAAAACTCTGCCGCCCGCATTCTCACCGTACGAAACTCCGCTTCCCGATCACCCCAGTCCTTGCCAGACTGCACTGGCTGCCTATCCCAGAGAGGATCAATTTCAAGATCCTCACCCTTATATTCAAGTCCCTGCACTCCTCTGCAACCCCCTACCTCTCTGACTTCTCTCCTCAAAACAGTACCCGTTGCCTCCGTTCCTCTGGGTCTGGCCTCCTCCGAGTCCTCTGCTCGACCCTCGGCGGCCCGTGCCTTCAGCCACTATGCCCGAGGGCTCTGGAACTGCCTTCCTCACTCACTTTGTCTCGCTCCCTCCCCATTTTCAAGTCTCTGTTGAAGACCTTTCTTTTTGACCGCGCCTTTGGTCACCTTCCTCCCCCTCTCCCTGGCTCAGTCCCAGGATCCGTTACTGTAAAGCGCTCTGAGACGCCGTCTGGCGTGGAGGGCGCTATATAAATCCAAGTTGTTGTTGTGGAATCTATTACACGTGAAACCATGTTAGTAATAAGCTAAACTGTAAATGTGGTTTGTATTTCAGGACAAAAGGAAAAAAGCCACTGCAGAAGCCAATAAACAAGAGCGTTCAAAACTAAAATCAAACCAAGAATCAGTTTCTAGTGTTTCAGAGATATCTGAAGTTTCTTCATCTTTTTTTACTGAAGTTAAAAAGACTCAAAAAGAAATTGTTTCAAAATCTGATGATGAGAGAACAGAGTTGTCTTCAAATCAGCCTGTAACTGATTTGAAAAATATTGTCAGTGAAGAGTCTGAATTGTGTAAAAAATCTGTGTCCTTGACGATTATTGAATCTGAAAGTCCTCATGCAGTTCAGCAAACTGGGTTGAGCCATAACAATGAGATTCAGGCATGTCAGACAAAAATAATTAAGCCAGACCATGACCTTTATTCCTCTGGAGTTACTACAGCCAACCAAGAAATGCCAAAGAGTGTTCATTTTCCAGAAAAAAATGTATTGCCTTGCTCTAGTGACACTAGTAGTGAAACAACAGAACACTTGCAGTCGACTGGTGATTTTAAATCTGCTATTGGTAGTGCTTCATTGGCCAAAGCTGTTTTGGACTACAATAAAACTTCTTCACAACAGACAATTGTTGATTTACCAGACTCAGAGTTGGAGAGCAGGGAAGATTTTAAGAGACCCGCTGTCCTAACACTGGGTGACGGAGAGCAAGATATACTTGATACACAGCTGCATAGCATAATGAAAGATCTTCCTGCACAACTGACCTTTAAAAAGTTGTATCCTGAATTGGTTGTGAAGGTGAAGGAAAACCAAGAGTCTGTACCACAGCTTTCACCCCATTCCAAAATGCTGTATCCAGAGATCCCACTTGAACCAGAAATTATACCATTTTCAAAAGAAGAGTTGAAAATGTTTGCATCAGGCTCATGGTTGGAGAATGTTGATGCGTACACTGAAGATTTTCTTTCTGTGGCCAATCAAGATAAAAATGATCTTTTTGAGCTTCTTATGAACTATTGGAGATGTCGAAAACAGCTGCTCCTGGCTGAAGTGGAATTACAAACAATGATGTCGAATTATAAGAGTATAAAAAAGAGACTATGGACATTTAAGGAAGAGCAATTAATCATACAGGTAAACTTGGTATCCATCATAATAATGTTTAATTGATGTAATAACAAATATGAAAGTTAACACCTGTCTTTTACACGTGGCCGAACAAATGTGTTGTGGACATACAAAGTTGTACCATGGAGTCCTGTAGCTTAGTGGTTAGAGCACTCGCTTTGCAAGTGAGAGACCTGAGTTCAATTCCAGGCAGGGCGAAACCTTGGGCAAGTTTCCTTACTCCACACGCCTAATAATAATCCCTCCAAAAAACCCCAAACAATAATAAATTGGTCATTTTCAATCTACGTCTGTTTGTGGGACATTGCTGTGCGCAATTGGCTGCCGCGTTCGCCCACAAATATACAGTCAATTCACTTCACAGTGTGTTCTGTGAAGCGCTTTGGGACGTCCTCCCGACGTGAAAAGTGCTATATCAAATGCAAGGATTATTATTATTATTATTGTGTGTCTGAACTTCATCATAATATGGTTCTACTTCAGGTCTGAAGGTGGAATGTCACTGAAGCCACAGTTGGTTATGTAGAAAAATACTTAGTTACATGGATCACACTTTTCTTGATGGGTCTTGTCATGCTGTCACTATTTCGGTTTTAACTAGACTCAGTTGGGTAGCACTTTGGATCTGAACGGTGTGGACTCAAGATTCCCCTGCCCACCAATTGGAACTCGAAACGTAATCCAGGCTGATTCTCCCATGCAGTTCTAGGGAGCACTGCATTGTCGGAGGTTGCATCTTTCAAATGAGATGCTTGAAGCACTTTGAATCGTCTCGACAAAGTAATAAGGTGCGATATCGAATGCAAGGATAATTATTTTTATAATTATCCTTGCATTTGATTTAGCACCTTTTACATCGGTAGGTACATAACGTACTTCACAGGATTTACTGTACAGTGGAGTGAGATTTTGTAGGTGAACGCAACAATCAATTTGCGCACAATAACGTCCCACAAACATCCATTAAGTGAATGACCAATTTTATTTCAGGGATTGTTTGTCCCTGAAGAAACTCCCTTCTCTTCGCAAATTGTACTATGAGATATTTAATGTCCACCTAAATCAGGCAGATGGGACCTCAGTTTGACAACTCATACAAAGAATGGCCTCCAGTAATGCAGTACATCCCTGGCACTATATTGGAATGTCAGCCAAGTCTGTGAAGTTAAAGTCCTAATGTGGGGCTAGAACTCACAAACTTTTGACTAGGAAACGAGAGTGCTACTAACAGACAGTATGGATAAATTCAGTCCAGCTGTTAATCGAGTCAACTCAATGTATATGGACATCCTCAATGTTTACAGAGTGAGAGGAAAGGTGAAAGAAGTACCAATTTTAGAGAAATACTGAGATCCAATTATACTCCCAGTTTGTTTCCAGATTTACACTGATACACGCACGAATCCAATGAAGACTGCATAAGTTAGGAAGAGTCAACGATATTCAGCGCCTTGGGACATCCTCCCGACATGAAAGGCTCTATACAAATAGAATTTTGTAATGTATTTAGTTCATTAGAAATGGTATGCTCAGGGCCAATGTACATTTTTCTTGTTCAGTATTTTGTTCTTAAAAGTGTTTAGATGAAAATTAGAAAATGAATTTTACGCTGAATGCTTTATAATCCTATGTTTTGTTTGGAGATGGTGCATATTCTGTTCATCACCAATTTTTAACCATGTTTATCAATTATCCTGTAATTTCTATGCAGGGAGTTTGTGCCGATCAAGCAAAAGTTTCAGGTTACCATCGATTTCAGATTGTGGAGATGAACACATTGGTTCTTGGGGAGCTGAAACGGTTGTTGGACGTCCAAGCTGATCATTTGCATCAAACACTGGCTTTACATGCTTATACGTCAGTACTTTCTCGTCTACAGGTGGAATCTTACATTTATAGGTTGTTGAACAGTTCACCAGCATTTAGAGCAATAGCAATTTTGCAAAAACAAGGTTGGTTTATTATAACTTGATTCAAAATTTACCAAATTCTATTCAAAAACAAAACTGAATGCAAGATTAGGCAATAACTAATTAACAGTTGCATACTTCAAGTTGGGTATTAGTATACTAGAGACATTGACAAAGTGCAGAAATGAGCTCTTTCTGCTAATTAAGTTGTAAGGTATATCAGTTAATATAGCTGCAGAAGCTGTTATAAAACTGTTCTTTTAGTTAGGATTGGGCAAGATTATGACTCTGAATTGTCAAATGTTATTTGGCCATGTAATTGGTCAATACTTCCACATTCTCTGTATATGCACTAGAAAGCCAATCAGCTTCCTGACATTAAAAATTGGAGAATTGGTGATCATCAGGTTGCCACCAATGCCACCTTGTGCACCATTTGTAACGTGCACAAATTGATGTTGGGAGAAACCTGATGATACAAAATCGGACATTTTTTAGTACGTGAGAAGCCGGTTAGCTTTTTGAAGCAAACTGTCCGGCATTCTGCGTACATTTTGGGAAATATCGTGCTTTATGCTACAATTGTGCTATAAGTGAACACGTGTTTATGTTCATCTGTAGCTAGGAGGTTTTGCAGGAGTAAGATCCTGAATTAGAGTGAAATTATCCATATATTTGCATGTTCATTGTTTAAAAAATACTGTTAACTGTCTTAATCTCTTAACTTCAAAGCAGTATTTGGAACAGCAACAGTCAGATTGAGGCTGAGAAAATCTGCTAATTATTCTGAAACACTTTGACCCCTTTACGTTTAAAATTGTTTTATTTTGACAGCTATTCTTGCGCAATCCTAACTAATGATCTGAGTCACAAAGGCATTTGTGTACATCTGCTCAGTATGTTTTCTAAACATTTATGTTAAGAATCTGACTACTTGGGAGGGTGAATAGAATCCGAGAATGCCTTACAGGCTTGTTTGTTCAATAGAACATTAACAGGCATGAAATCTAGAAAAACTTTACAATTTCTACTTGTACCTTTATTACCTAAACCTGGCCAAATTATGTACATGATTTGTCCAGGTTTAGATAATAAAGGTACAAGTTTCTGGCTCTAGCAATTGCAAAAAATACTAAAATGAGAAAAAGCATAAGAAAGAGTTGATTTTAAAATCTTAAAAACAACTATGAAATATCTGCTTCCAAATTATTACTTTTCTAAAATGACACACAATCTTACATTTTAAGTCTGTGTTCCTAAGGCTAATAAGAAGTATAGTTTGAGAACAACAACAACAACAACTAACATTTCTATAGCACCTTTACACAGGGTAGTGTCTTGGAATGCTTAACATTGGCACACCCTTTTGCTAAGCTGGAGGAGGGAGGCGGTGACTGTAGATGCAGTCGAGGAATGTCTTCAGGCATGATTTGAAAATGGGGAAGGAGGACGCAAGGCAGAGGGATTGAGGGAAAGAGTGCCAAAGTTTCAGGTGTAGCGGCTGAAAGCACGGCCGTGATGATGGAATGGAAGGGTCAAGGAACAAGTTTGAGTTCGGAGACAGCCAAGCAGAGGAAATGGGAGTGGGAGTAAGCAGGTCGCAGAGGTACGGAGGTGCCTGGAAGCAATTTGTAGATGAGTGTGAGGATTTTGAAGTCAATATGTTCAGTGGAGCCTGGCAAGGGCTAGGATGGTGACATTTTGGATGTTTCAGATGGTCCTATTTCCCTTCAAAGTGAAACAGTCGCCTCAAAGGCTTTAAAAAAATTGTTCTAACCTGTAATGTTACAATTTGGTGAGACCATTTTCTTCATAGGGTCAAAATCCCCCGTTTTGTATTATAGTTTTACCAATACTTATTTTAATATTAGATCCACAGAATGTAATTTTTTTGTGATATTTAGATAATCAAGAAATTGATTGCAGCCATTCAGATATGCAGTTTCTAAAGGACTGTATCAGTGTACTCTTCAGTTTCACTCGAAGAATAATTGAAGATGGTCAGTTCCAAGGTGACATTCTTCTCTGGCTTCAGAAATTGGTATGAAGTTGTAATATGCACATTATACTTCACATTATTATATTATCTGATCTGAGTGAATGTAAGTCAATTGTGGTTTCATTACAGAGCAAATCAAAGCAAATTCTTTAAAATACCAATATACACTATATATAGTGTATAAAATCTGTTGTTCTATGGCAGTTCCCATAATTTTCCTACAATTTGTAGATTGAGGTTGTGGGAAATTTGAAGTGTGAAACATAAATGGACTTCTTGAGCCTCGTATTATCAATGTTGTTAATCTTTGATTATGGTTTATTTCTTGGTGCCTGGCCAACAATCATCCAAGTTAAATTGATCATTCATAGTAGTTTGTGATGATTACAGGGATCACTGTATGATTATAGAAATGTAATCTGTTGAGCATTGCTGGGGAATAGCATTAAACTAATGTTAGGCTTGGTATAATTTTTAGAAGAGAGATTTGCAGCTTTGTAACTAAGAGGGAACAGGAAACAGACATTTTCATTTTGGTTTGTTTGGTTAAATTTAATAGCTTTTCCAGAGTTCTTAATAAACATTAATAATTTCAGGTTGTTGTATTACATCGACTTGGCTCTACTGGTGACCATCTCTTTCTGCTGAATCACATCCTCAGATGTCCAGCAGGTGTGAGTAAATGGGCAGTTCCATTTGTACAGGTATGTTTATATGAAAATTGTATAATCTTAATACTTTTTAACTTAATGGTCTAAACATTTCACATACAATTATATATTTTTTAATTAATTCTAATCATATTTGTAGTTTAAGCAGTTTTGTAATGAGATGAAATATTTGAGATTAAATAACAATAATGGTATTGTATACATCTCGCAACAGATTTCAGAAGAGGTTTAGATGATGAAGGCCATTTAGCCCATTTGATCTCATCCTTCCAAAATGCCAACCCTAAAATCCTCCCATTGCAGCATCAAGCTATTTCTTAAATGAATCCAGTATTCTGGCTTCAACCATCTTTCCTGGTAATCTGTTCCAGTGGTTAATTACCCCTTTGCAGAAAGAAATATTTCTTGTTATATGTTCTGATATTGCCTTTTGAAATCCTGAATCAGAAATTTACAAGAGCAGGAGGAGTCCCTGTGTTGCCTCCTATATTTACTTCTGAAGCTTCCAATGTGCATTGCCTTCATAGCTGGTGATTTATAGTTTGTAAGTTAGCAATTTTTGAAAGAGGTACTACTGTTTATTCTCAACAATATTGAATTCGTAAACTGCAAATATCTCTACAAAGGCCAAAATACAATTATGGTGGTTCAGAACACTACCCAAAAACGCACTTTGCATTGAATCATGTAAATCAGGAGAGTCACAGGTTTTATGTCTACTGTACTAAGCTTTTTCGTAGATGATACATTGGTATTATCTGGGGTAACTGCTTTTTATTACAGGATTCAGTGCTCCCTCGTGTGTTCACGTGTGTGTGCGTGCGTGCAAACCCATGAAAAACACAGTTGAGATCTGATATGATTTCACTCATAGCCAGTCTAAACTGCATATCCAGGCTCACACTTGAACAGTGATTACATGAACAAGGCATTATTATTTGTGGCTATCAGTGTTACTGAAATTTTATGACAGCAATATTCATCGTCAAGAAAAAGGCAGAGAAACTTGAAAGAGGCTCACAGTTGGATTTAAAAACTGATAATTATGCTGTTTCTGCACATTGTATTTCCTTTCTCTTCAACACCACTCTCACCACCAGTATAACCCTCAGGAAACCGACCACCTACTCCCTCATCCCCATCTCTACCCCTCTCCTTACCTCCCAGCTCCACCTCCTTGCCCCTCTACTCACAGACATCGTAAACCTCTCCCTGTCCACTGGCATCGTTCCCACCCCTTTAGAAACAGCCTTCATCATTCCTATTCTTAAAAAACCCTCCCTGGACCAATCCCTGCTCTCAAACTATCACCCCATCTCCAACCTCCCTTTCCTTTCCAAGGTACTGGAATGAGTCGTTGCTTCCCAGCTTCGCTCCTTCCTCTCCCGCCACTCCCTTCATGAACCGCTCCAATCGGGTTTCCATGCCGCCCACAGCACAGAAACAGCTTTGATCAAAGTGACAAATGACATTTTGTCCATCTGCAATTAGGGCTCTCTCTGCCTCTCCGTCTTCCTTGACCTCTCTGCTGCCTTCGATACCGTTGACCACTCTATCCTCCTCCACCACCTCTCCTCACCTCAACCTTCATGGTTCTGTCTTTGAATGGTTCAGATCCTAGCTCTCACACTGTCTCCACTTCATCTCCATAAACGGTTTCTCCTCTAGCCCCTGCACCATCTCATGCAGCATTCCTCAGGGCTCTGTCCTTGGTCCCCTCCTCTTCAATATCCATATGCTCCTTGGTGACATCATCCGCAGATATGGGGTCAACTTCCACATATATGCAGGTCAACTTCCACGTGCATACAGATGATACCCAACTCTATCTCTCTGCCTCCACCCTCGATTCCAGGACCACTGTTGTCCTTACAGAATGTCCACCAGACATCAAGTCCTGGATGAGAGCTAATTTTCTTCAGTTGAACGTCAACAAGCCCGAGGCCCTCCTGATTAGCTCCCGTCAGCGCCTCCACACCTCACCATCCACGGAATGACACTCCACCTTACTAAGCCAGTCTGGATCCTTGGCATCCTGTTTGACCGTCAACTATCCTTTGTATGCCACATCTGTGCCATGACACTCTTTGCCTTCCCTACCTCCGCAACATCGCCCGGCTCGGCCACTGTCTCACACCACAGGCTGCCGAAACCCTTATACATACATTCATAACATCCAGGCTTGAGACTATGCAATCTCCCTGATTGTCAGGCTCCCCCAACTCCTCCCTCTATAGGTTGCAGATCATCCAGAACTCTGCAGCCCGAATATTCTCTCCTCTGTGACCCTATCAGCCCCATCCTCACGCAACGCCACTGGTTTCTCATCACACAGAGGATACAGCTCAAGATCTTGGTCCTCGCCTTCAAAGCCCTCCATGGCCTTGCTCCCCACTACCACTGCGACCTTCTAACCCCCTACCAACCCTCCACTCAGCAAGCTCTGGCCTGCTTCACACCTTGCTCGCCCCACCATTGACGGGTGGGCCTTCAGCCACTCAGCTCCTACCCTCTGGAACTCCATCCCTCAGTCCCTCCGCCTCGCCCTCTCCCTTGCCTCCTTCGAGACCCATCTCAAGACCCTCCTCTTCGACCGTGCCTTTGATCACCCTCCTTCCCCCCCCTGCCCTCCACCTTCCCCAATCCCGACCCCCAGCTCGGGTCCAAAACACTGGTTGCCTTGGGACGTCCTCCTAATGTGAAAGGCGCTATACAAATGTAATGTTGTTGTTGTAGTTCTATTATACTCATTATGTAATCCATTTAGATAGTTGATCAGAAAACAATGTGAAACTTTCCACAGAACCATTGAATGAATATTTTGTTAATTCAAATACATTAAGTTAATTTAATAAAAACTTTTTTTTATTTCAGATAAAAGTTCTTGGTCATCCTTCAGGTGTATTTCTATTCATGCAAGCTCTAGCCTTACTTATGTCACCAATCAAGTGAGTACTATTCCATTCAAAAAATTTACTAAAATTGTACTCCTATTTTGAAAAAAGGTTTTCTTTCATGTCCAATGTCCCTTTCCCTGGCTGTGTAAGTTACATAAATGCACCCTGAAAGGCCATTTCGAATGAGGTATTGATAGCGACCTGATTTGAGATACGCACACTCTGAAGTCCACAAGACCTGACACTCGTCAACCTGCGTCTCTGAGGTCCACAAGACCTGGCAATCGCCAACCTGCGACTCTGAGGTCCATAAGACCTGACACTCACCAACCTGCGTCTCTGAGGTCCACAAGACCTGGCACTCGCCAACCTGGGTCTCTGAATTTCATAAGACCTGGCACTCGCCAACCTGCATCTAATAGCCTCTGAAAATAAATAGCCAGGATGCTTGTCTCGGGAGAAAGTGCCCGTTTCATTCTAGGCACAGGGAAATGTCCATATGTGGAGTCCTGTAGCTCAGTGGTTAGAGCACTCGTTTTGCAAGCGAGAGACCTGAGTTCAATTCCAGGCAGAGGGCGAAACCTTGGGCAAGTTTCCTTACTCCACACGCCTAATAATAATCCCTCCAAAAAACCCAAAACAATAATAAATTGGTCATTTTCAATCTACGTCTGTTTGTGGGACATTGCTGTGCGCAATTGGCTGCCGCGTTCGCCCACAAATATACAGTCAATTCACTTTACAGTGTGTTCTGTGAAGCGCTTTGGGACGTCCTCCCGACGTGAAAAGTGCTATATCAAATGCAAGGATTATTATTATTATATGTAGGTGGTATACATATGTAGAACTCTGGTTTAGATTCTCTTAAACCTGGTCATGGGTTTCCACTCACACCCCACTAGCCAGAGTAAAACTAATCATGTGAAATATGTCAAATTATTGAAAATTTATGATTTTTGAAAAACAGACATCGAGCTGAATTTTTGCTAAATGTGAAACCCAGTGAAAAAAAGCCATTATCAGCTGCTCTGACAGGAAAAAACTCCCAGAACTGGACCCTGGTAGATGAAGGTGGTGAAGAGGTATTTACAGATTCATTAAAATATTTATATATAGATATATGTATGTATGTATGTATGTTTGGAAAACAAAATCTGTATTGCTTTTCTCACATGATCCAAAAATAGCATGAAAGTTTGCATTACCAGTGGTAAACTGGAAGCTTATAGAACTTTGTAAATTTAGAAGAAAGCCATGTGGCCGACCGTATCTGTCAGCTGTGAGTACTCTCAAAGATATAAGGCGCCAATGATTATTATTATATTCTTTGCCTTTAAACCAAGGATCCCATTAGTTTCTTCAAGGCTTGGTTCATCTATCTTCCCACCTTTCCCCATACACTTGTGGTTTACTCCTTTTTAGATATTTATCTAATTCTTTTTTGAAAGCTATATGGATTCTGCTTCAGCCACCACTCCCAACTCTAACTACTCTGTGCATGAAAAAAAAATCTTCTCATTTGCTCGTTTGCTAACCATCTTAAATTGATACCCTCAGTCACTGACACACTGACCAGGAGAAATAATTTTTTTTCTATTAACTTATCAAAACCCCTTATAATTTTAAAGACCTCTATCAGGTTACCCCTTTTTCCAGCGGAAAAAAATCCAGTTCCTCCAGTCTCTGCTCATAGGCAAAACTTCTCATCCCAGTATCATCCTCGTAAAGCTTCTTTGTAGCCCTTCTGTATTGCCTTGATGTCTCTCAAGTAGTAATAGACTATAAAGTAGTGTGATCAAAACTGACATTGAAAATATAGTAATAAAATAATCAAACATCAAATCAGAAATGGTGGTTGTTGTAATAGTAATCTAGTCCTATTAAAAGAAATACAGCAATTGCCATGAAAATAGAACAACTACCATCAAGAACATCATCCATCCAGAGAACATTGCCCAGTTCTGTACCTACCTCATCCCCCACATAACTGAAAATCTCATCCATGTTTTTTTTCATCTACATTTCTCCAATGCTTTCCTCATTGTCTCTTTAGTGCCGCCCTTTGTAACCTATGAATCATACAAAACTCCACAGTCCATATTTTCTCCCACACCAAGCTCCAAACCCCCATTTCCCTATTCTACCAGAAACTACTTGCTTCACGTTTCTGAACTTTGCGATTTCGAATCCCTTTACAATATTATTACACCCGATCTCTGCATTCTGTTCCTAGAGTTGCTCCTCTGACTCTAGAATGTTGCTCATTTGGCATTCTTCTGCCCCCTCATCTCCAGGCCCACGCTCCAAAAACATTTTGTTTTTTTAATATAATTGAATGCTTAATGCTTGGTTTCTTTTTTTTCTCTTTCTAACTAGGATGAAGATCCTGATACCAGCTGGATACTCATGTCAGAGGATGATCTGGTTTCCCTTTTTTCACAGTTTCCTTTCCATGAACTATTCAAACACTTGCTTGGTATAACTGTCAAAGGTAATGTGATTTTTTCTTTATCATTTATTCTTATCCATTATCCATTTTATATTCACTTATTCCAAAGCATTATCTGTCTTTTCATTTTGATAAAGTGTAAAATTAGCAAAAGACAATAAGAATAAATGATGCAGTCTGAATGCCAGAATTATATTTGTTTATTTTTCTCCAATCCATGTATCATTTTGAATGAAGGAATGTCAATCTACATTCATAATGACAAAACAATTTATTTACATGAATCTTATGGAAGCACCACACAGTTTTATAGTATTGTGATTAAGACTCCAAATGTCTCCATCAGTAAAGGAAAAATTCTAATATTCGTTTAATTTTAAATACCCAGTATTTGGAGATTAGATGATTAAATTATATTACCCAAATTTGTTTAGTGTGGAAGTTGAATTTAGGTCTTTTTTGTTTGGGGGAAAAAAAGCATATCTAGTCATATAATCTGATCTGTTCATTAGGTGTTTACAAGCCAGAAACTAATACCTGTCAGCAGATGATGAAGATCATTGGATTTGCATCCTCCTTGATCGAGATTCTAGCCGTGGGACTGGAAACTTTTAATAGAGCACGATACAGGCAATTAGTAAAAAGGATTGGTCAAATGATCAGGTAAGGTAAATTCAAGCTGGATTTCTAAAGCTGTTGGGCAAAAAAATAATTTGAGTGGTATAAGAGATTTCAAGCTGAGCTGCGTTGCCCGTCAGGGAGTTCCCAGGGTTCCTGGTACTATGATTGTCGGATGTCAAACTAGTGACCAACTAGTGACTATCTTCCTTGGCGGATAGTGGGGGGGGGGTCTAAGAAGGGTCTTGGCGCTCGATTTCTGTGCCTAGACAGTGGTTCTTGCAAGGCTATTGGTTTGTAGAAAAGATTAAAGCTGAGGCTCATCAAATTCACACAGGCTCAGGAATCACCAGGCTACAGTTAGGAGAGGGAATCCTGACTGATAATTTTCCCCCCTCTAATGAGGAGACACTGGTACCCCAGCCAAGATCAGTTAATGTAACAACAACAACAATTAAAGTTGACTTTGACTAGCTGTAATTACTCCATATTCTATATTTTGATCATTTGAGTATCGTGCTAATACAAATTACCACAAAGCAAATTAGTATGACAGTTATCAAGGGAGGTTTGGAAGGACAATGATAGAATCCTTCAAATACGATCAATGGTGTAGTGGACCTAGGTGCCTCTTATTGGCCACAATGGTTCGAATTCTGGTGAATACTGAGTTTGATGGTCTCAACATCTGGAATGCGTTGCCTGGAAGTGTGGTGGAAGCTGATTCAATAACAGCTTTTAAGAGAGAAGTAGGTAATTATTTGGGGAGGACAAGTTTGGAGGGCTATGGGGAGAGAGCGGTGGAGTGGGATTGATTTGGATAGTTCTTTTCAAAGAGCCGGCACAGACGATGGACGAAATGGCCTCCTTCTGTGCTATATAATTCCATGAACTGTTGCCACAAGAGGAGGATAAAGAAGCCCCAATTTTCCCAGGGTTTGGGAAGGGTAAAACTAGCTGGTCTTGATCTCTCTCACCACCCTCTTCTGCTAGTGTGTGTGCACAGCAGCTGGTGACGAGGTAGATTCAACTATGGTCCCCTCTATGGTCCAGAAGCCTGACAATGGACAAAGCCCAGGCTCACAGATGAACAGTGGCCACGTGGCAGAGTACTGGAGGACAACCAGTGCCATGGAACTGCACTCCTGCATCAGGAGGCCAGGAACCAGAAGCATAAGCCAAAAGGGGATAAAATTCAAAAATGTATTTGACCCACTTTTTTAAAAAAGAAAATCGAGAAGAAGATGCTGCTATCTGATGAGGATTAGCAGTTCATTTCTAACTTGATACTGTATACTGTAGTTTTAGAAAACAGCTAATTTGTTTATAACACTTTCAAATTACCAGGAGGACAATTTGTTGCATAAGTGACCACTGGGCTCAATATGTCGCTTCCCACAAGGAGCATGGAATCATATCCTCTCACCAGCCGTACTCCCTTCAGAAGCTCCAAGTTGAGTTTGATGAGCTGTTTCTTAGAGCCGTGCTTCATGTACTGAAAGCCAAAAGGTATGTTGATACCATAACTAGCTGGCAAAATGCAAATAAACATGGGCTCCAAACAGTTGGAGCCCACTTTTCACATTCACTGAAATGGCACAGAAGTGGCGTTGTAAGGTTGAAACATTTATGTATGCATTTATGTTGTGTCAAATATACAATTAAATTAGATTACCATTTGCCAATGTGGAATATACTAATCAAACAGGTTATAGTTACTGAATGAATTAGGGTGTTTAAAAAGGAGACAGATAATAATAATAATAATCCTTGCATTTGATATAGATAGCGCTTTTCACGTCTTCTAGACATTCCAAAGTGCTTCACAGAATATACTGTAAAGTGAATTGACTGTATATTTGTGGGCGAACGCGGCAGCCAATTGCGCACAGCACTGTCCCACAAACAGTCGTAGATTGAAAATGACCAATTTATTATTGTTTTTTTGTTTTGGAGGGATTATTATTAGGCTCTGTGTGGAGTAAGGAAACTTGCCCAAGGTTTCGCCCTGTCTGGAATTGAACTCAGGTCTCTCGCTTGCAAAGCGAGTGCTCTAACCACTGAGCTACAGGACTTCACAGATGGAAGGATAGATGTGGCGAAATGGGATTATATATCAGGCATGATTTATTTAAATGGTGCAACAGGCTTCGTGAGCTGAATATCTTCCTGTTGATATGTTGCTTTTCTAATTAATTATGGAAATGCTGCAATGCAAAAACAAAATCACTTCAAAGACTAAAATTTCAAGCTGAATGGCATTTGGGAAACAAGAAAGAATCCTGGAAGAATATTTTGTTCTGAATTGCCAGTAACTAACATTTGAAAATGATGAGCATTTTGCATGTATGTCACTGAAGACAGCAAACAATTTGCAGAAAATTGTGTATGTTATCCAATACCAGTCATTAAACTAAATGGATTTAATTGCTTGTACAGATTGTGGATGCTTATACCATTTAACAACAACAACAAAAATTACATTTGTAAAGCGCCTTTCACGTTGGGGGGAACGTCCCAAGGCGCTGAGGGAAAAAACAGAACCTTTGAGGTGAAATACAAGTGTTATTGCAGATTAAGATAATTTTGTTATTTTCTCTTCAATTTTCTCCCTTTTTTAAAAAGCAGTGGATGCTAATCGTTCTCCATTACCTCACCCAAGTGCATTCTTAATGTGAGCCTAGATAATGAATATTCGTAAATTTTGACCATGAGTGTCATCATAACTGAGCATATTATTGTCCTAATAAGTAACTCACTTTTACAGCACCTACAATGTCAAATTGTCTCAAAGTGCTCCACAGTAATTTGTAGGTTTTTTGAAGGTCCATCTCAAAATCTTCCCCTTTGATCTCGCCTTTGGTCCTCTTCCTCCACCCCCACCCTCCCCTTGGCCTCCAACCACTTCTAATCCAACCCCCAGCTCGGGTGCAAACCCTTGACTGTCCTGTGCCTTGGGATATCTTACCAACATGAAAGGTGCCATATCAATGCAATGTTTTATTGTTCGAAGGAGGGAAAGCAAAGCTCTTTTGCACACAGATCCACATAGAGGCAAATTAAATGGATAATTAATCTGGAGGATTATTGGTTAGGATACTCCTTCCGCTTTTTAGAACAGAGCATGACATTTAAGCATCCAACAGAAGAATAGGCAGATGGGATCTTGGGTCAATATCAACAGCACCTCTGGCAATGCAATGCTCCCTCAGTATTGCATTGCAGTAACAGCCTTGACAATGAGCTCAAGTCTGTCCTAGCCAGAGGTAGACAACCTAACCAAGCTGATATCCACGTCTTCAACCAACAACCCACATGTGCACCTTATGGTGGGGGGGGTGGGGGGGGTCACTGATTTTTATCTTCTCCACTCCAGAGCCCACAAATATACAGTCATTTCACTTCATAGTAGATTCTGTGAAGCGCTTTGAGACATCTACGTGAAAAGCGCTATAACAAATGCAAGGATTATTATATACAACATCAAAATTACATTTGTGTAGCACCTTTCACTTCGGGGGACAACCCAAGGCGCTGGACAATCAGTGTTTCGGATCTGAGCTGGGGGTCAGGATCAGGGAGGGTGGAGGGCGGGGGGGGAAGGAGGGTGATCAAAGGCATGGTCAAAGAGGAGGGTCTTGAGACGGGTCTTGAAAGAGGCAAGGGAGGAAGCGAGGCGGAGGGACTGCGAGATGGAGTTCCAGAGGGTGGGGGCATAGTAGCAAAAGGCCCGCCCACCCGCCAATGGTGAGGAGGGCGAGGCGGGGGACATGAAGCAGGCTGGAGCCCACTGAGCGGAGGAGCGGTCAGGTTGGTAGGGGTTAGAAGGTCGCAGAGGTATGGGGGAGCAAGACCATGGAGGGCTTTGAAAGTGAGGAACAGGATCTTGAACTGTATCCACTATGTGATATGATATAGTGTACACATAATGCATGTCCTTAATTTTTCTACAGTGTAGTACTGCCATGGTAACATCAATGTGTCTCGATATCTAGACACCTGTAGGTACAATTCTAAATTATGGATACAAAGTCTGTTTCATTCTCAGGTTTAGTGTCCACAATTTTGCACTGGTATATTCTTCATGACTAATTAAGCAATCCGTAGATTTGACTGGAGAAGAAAATAGAAATGTCATGTTGGTACATGTGGGCATTACATCACGTATGTTGAAGAAAGGTGGAAACTTATAACGAATGAAATATTTAATCCTTAAATATCTGATCTGAGAAAACTTGGTGCCGATCCTGAGCATAAAATATGAATAACAAAAGTACTATATTTAAATGCATGTGTTATGCAGTTTGATTTAATATTTTTATAGTGATGGATTAATGTACTTTATTTGAAACAGGTTGGGAATTTGGCTCTTCATGTCTGAAATGCCCTATGGGACCTTGTCAAAAAATATGATATGGAAGCTCTTCTATATTCTTCATTGTGCAGAAAGTGAAAATCGTGAAAGATTGTGTGCTACTGTACAATCTATTGAATGCAAAGACAATCTTAAAGGTACAAGAAATATCCTTTATTCCCCCAGTATTTAAAATATGCACATTTATTTTTGATAGGATTCGGATATTCGCACATTATGAATTAAATGCTTACAATAGATTTGAGTTTCCTTTTATTCTTATTGCTGTTTTCAACTTTAATTGTGCTTGAAGTCTATTCATTCTGATATCCTAATGCACATATCACTAGTTTTTAACACACTCCCCAGAGAGCAGGAAAGGTTCAGATGCCATAAGTACAAGTTACCCATAACAGCCAAAACAATTGTACATGTGCAAACATGCTGCGGGATTGCTTTGGTTGGTGCTGTGGATTCACCCCTTATTCAAGTGACCCCTATTTTTAGACTTCTAATGTAACAGCACTTTTTTTTTGGTAAGATGGCTCCTTTGACACATGTGGAAACCCATCACCATGCTTAAAGAGTATCAAAACCAAACTGAGAGTTGCATGCATCCCAACTATGCATTAAAATTCCAGAGGTAGATTGTTGGAATGGTATGCAAACCCTCTCCCTGGAGGGATGCATCCTACCTAATTCCAGAAAGTATTAGGGGTAGGTTGGCAAGACCCAAGGCTTGGGATCCCAGCGTGTGTGTTGGGATACTGTTGGAGTCTAACCAGCTAAAACCGCTTAGCTTCCCATCGATATCACTGCCTGGCAAGCTTTCCTACTGCTGGTGGGAAGTCCTGGTATGACCACCCTACCAGTTAGGGTTGTGGCTTTCAGGGATAACAAAGTGAGTGGGATATTCCCTTCCCCCATGATTGGTCTGCCCTTAACATAACATAACGTGTAGGAGCAGGAGTAAGCCATTCGGCCCTTCGAGCCTGCCCCGCCATTCAATCATGGCCGATCTTCTAATCTAAATCCAGATTCTAATCTAACTTCTAATCTAACGCCCTTTCAAGTCCTGCCAATGTGCCAGGCTGGCTGTGCTGTTACCAACACAAAGAGAATACAGGCAGGACTCATTTGCACAGTGTGGTCTGGTGTTATGGTTTAAATTTCTTGTCAATATATTTACTAAAAAATAATCTTTATTCAAGACTAATATGGCAGTCAGTTTGCACACAGCAATGTTCCACAAGCAGCCATGGGAAGAATGACCTTTTTTTATTGTGGAACTATTATTTAAACTAAAATAAATTCCCTGCTTATTTCAATAATGCCACGGAACCTCTTAAGTCCACCTCAACAGACACTGGACCTCACTTTAACCCAAAGGATAATACAGTACTCCCCAATACTGCATTGGCTGTCATCCTAAATTATGAGCTCAAGGTCTCACTATGGGATATAAAAATATATTAAGAGAAAAATACTAACTCCCTAATCAATTTGCTTTAAAATCGTTAAACCACAGGCTTTTAAAGAACATGAAATTGCATTAAAGTTCAATTTATATATGTAGCAAAATATTCTAAAATTTAACAAACCTCATACATATTAAATGGTTTTGTCTCTTGTTTATGCAGATGCAGAACATAAACAAAGGTTTGAACAATACCTCTCTGAAATTACCAGTTCTGAAGGAATATGTCTTCTTACCACATTTGCACATATGATCCAACCCAAACATGAAAATGTTGATCTCGAGTTTGTGAAAACAGTTGTTTTGGAAATATATGAGGTATGGACATCATTTAAATTTACAAAGTAATTGAATTTTTTTTAATGAAAAATTGAATGTGATCACTTTTAATAATAATAATAATGTTGCATTTGATATAGCGCTTTTCACATCTTCTCGACGTCTTAAAGAGCTTCACAGAATACACTGTAAAGTGAATTGACCGTATATTTGTGGGCAAATAATGTAATGACAATGAATACAATACAAAGTTACATTTTTATAGTGCCTTTCACATTGGGAGGATGATCCAAGGTAGTATACTGGCTTTTCACCCGAGCTGGAGGGTGTGAGGGCTAAGGTGGAGGAGGGGAAAGATGATACAAAGCGTGGTCAAAGAGATGGATCTTGAGCTTGACCTTGAACAAGGTGAGGGAGAGAGCAAATTGGAGGGACTCCAGGACGAGGGCAGAAAGGCTAGAGGTTTTCTGGAGATTAGGAGAAGTTTGAGACTTGGTGTTATACTGTGATGGTCATAATATCTATCAAAGCTTCAAAAATTTAAATATGGTGTATGTTGGATAATTTTCCGTTTCTACCTTCTTTGTATACTTCTGCAATTGGATGTTAGTTCTTCAAGCAATAAACACAGTCACACAGTTCAATCACTAAGAGTACATTTATTCAACTAAATCAGGACCAGTCAGTTCAGTCTGGTACAGAGTTAGGGTCGTAGCTTCACCAAGCTGACGACCCCGTTGTGGGATTCAACAATGGCATTTATACAAGTATGGGGAGGATCCTTCTCCTCCAATCGTTAGATTTGGTCATAGGTGACAATGTGGTCGAGACATAGGATGTATATTGGGCACTATCCATTGTCTCATACTCAAGCTGCAGTTAGTCTGCGCATAGATCTGTTGATTCGGGCTTATTTCCTTCATGGAACCAGTCTGCGCATAGATCTGTTGATTCGGGCTTATTTCTTTCATGGAACCAGTCTGCGCATACATCTGTTGATTCGGGCTTACTTCCTTCATGGAATCAGTCGTAATTGGTTCCATGCAGTTGAGCTGCACGTTTCTAAGATCAGATAACACAGTCTGCCAAGCTTCTCATTGCAGGGTTTACTAAAGGTTATAATTTGTGCCTTTTTATCCATCAGTGTACATTTTATTTCTTGTGAAAGGCCCATAGTTGCAACTATGGTAACACTGAGTCAGAAGGTTTGGGGTTCAAATCTCACGTCAAGATTTTGAGCTCATAGTCTAGGCTGACACTCAAATGCAGTGCTGGTGGAGGTGTGTTGCTTCAGATGAGATGCTTATTCTGGAAGCTGTCAAAGATCCTATGGCAGTATTTTAAAAAAAGAAAGGGATTTTTCCTGCTGTGCCAACCAATGATTTCCCCAGATAAAATTAGTCATTCAATTCATGGCTGGGACATTCCTGTGCAAAGAATGCCTACAAATACAATCGCGACACTTAACAGTAAAATCCTGTAAAACATTTCAACAAACTGATTAGACATTAACTATATCAAATGCAAGAAACGTTATTCTAAATACTATTTCATGTTAGTGTTTATTTCCATAGGTGGCTTATGTGAGCCTTTGCACCAGAGAAATCTTTTCTAAAGTTGGACGGGAACTTTTAGCCACAATTTCAACTGCCCATCCTCATGTCATCTCTATACTTCTGGATCGTGTCAGAGAAACTATTGAGAAAGTTGGAATGGTATGATCTTGTTTTAATGTTGAACAAATTGCCTTAAGCAAAGTTGATTATTTTGCATTTTTAAAAAAGTTTGTGTACGTTGTATTAATAGTGTGAAATTCTGAATCACCGTAGAACACTACTTGAATAGTTTTATTATGCCTATAAGATGATGCTGAAAAAAAGGTATTGGAATAAGGTGTAGCTTGAGGTTCCCTACTTCAACATACAGCACACTTGAACAAGGGACTGAGTGGTGCAGTATTCTTTTTGGTCTGGTCTCGTATTAGTCAATGCTGAAATGGCAAAAGACTTCTCTTTGCCTCTTAGGGCTTAGCGTTAAGAGTTTCAGAAGTGAATTTCAGAATTGTCCTTTCAATTTCTAGTAGCCATAAAAAATTATCAAGATGAAAGTAAACTAGAAAATCTCATGCAATTTTTATTCTGCATTCAGATTGATACTTCATACTTTATCAAAATGTCTTATTCCTCAGCATTAAGATTCCTGGTCTTGAAGGGCATAAACATTATTTATAAAAAAATAAATTATTTAAAAATACACAGATATTTATGTCTGTATGTATGTATGTGTGTGTGTGTGTGTATATGTGTGTGTGTTTGTATGTATGTATGTTGGATCATCCATGGTTATGTTCGTCATTTTAGTAGTACACTTTTTAAAATCAATACTGTTTCCTAATTGTTTGATTCATGCGCTGATATGTGTGCCTTGCTCTACAGTCAAACCTCACTATAAGGAATCCCCTCGGGACTGGCAGAAAAGATTGTTATGTCGGGGTGTTTACCATAGTAGGATTTGGCTGTCAAATGGATGCAAAAATTAGGTCTTGCCATTGGGATTGTTGAAACCAGGGATTATAAGAAGGGTTTGTTATACTGAAGTTTGACTGTTTTTCCTTTCCTGTGTCCAGCAGTTCTGCAATTTTTTTCTTTGTGGTTAATCCAACACAAATTTGAAGATGATCAACCTGTTAATATTGGTGTGAAATTATTTGACTTTCTGTCAACCCTGATTTAGGTTCCTCAGTACACATTCAACGCACACAATCTGAGAAATCTTCTAAAATAATTGGATGATTGTTCTGCTTCGGAGAATTGTGATTTTAAGTCTCCTTTCTTAGGCAGCAATATAAAGACATAGCCCAGGTGTCAGCCTGGCTCAGTTAGTAGCACTCTTGCCTCTGATCCAGAAAGTTATGATTGTCAGTGCCATGTTGAACTTTGAACTCGTATAATCTAGGCTGAATGGTAATATTTCTGCTAAGAACAGTGTTTTGAAGCCAACGTATCATAATCCATGCACTTGAAACTTCACAAGTGACCTGTGTAAAGAAAATAATTTCTTCCACCCTGATGGTACCTATCCCATTTAATGTAAGAATATAATTTAGGAGCTCATTTGTCATTAACCTAGTTGCCAAATTAGAAATTCAGTGACTCCTGCTGCTACTCCAGTTCAAATTAGTGAACAGAACAGATCAAGGATTTCATAGAATCATAGAATTATACAACTTAGAAGGAGGCCATTCTGCGCATCGTTTCGTGCCGGCTCTTTGAAAGAGCTGTCCAAATTAATCCCATTCTCCCGCGCTCTCCCCATAGCCCTGCAAATTTGTCCTCCCCAAATATCTTTCTAATTCTCTCTTGAAAGTTGTTATTGAATCGGCTTTCACCACCCTTCCAAGCAATGCATTCCAGATCAGAACAACTTGCTGTGTGAAAAAATTTCTCCCCCAACCCCCCACTGTTTTTTTTGGCAACTATTTGAAATCAGTGTCCTCGGGTTACTGACCCACCCGTCAATGGAAACAGTTTCTCTCCGTTCACCATATCGAATCCCCTCTTAATTTTGAAAACTTCAGTGAAGTCTCCTCTTAAACTTCTCTGCTCGAAGAAGAATAATCCCAGCTTGTCCAGCCTCTCCTCATAACTGAAGTCCCTCATTCCTGGTACCATCCTGGTAAATCTCCTTTGCACCCTTTCCAAGGCTTTGACATCCTTCTTCAAGTGTGGTGCCCAGAACGGAACACTGTCTCCAGCTGAGGCCAAACCAGTGTTTTATAAAGGTTCATCATAACCTCCTTTTATATTCTATGTCCCTATTTATAAAGCCTAGTATCCTTTTTTTAACATCTTTATCTACCTATCCTGCCACCTTTAAAGATTTATTTATGTGGACCCCCAGGTCTCTCTGTTCCTGCACCCCCTTTAAGGTTGTACCATCAGATTATATTGCCTCTCCTCATTCTTCCTCCCAAATGCATCACTTTGCACTTCTCTGCATTAAATTTCATCTGCCACGTGTCTGCCCATTTCACCAGTCTAGCTATGTCCTCTTGCAATCTGCCACTATCCTATTCACCATTTATTACTTTTCCTAGCTTTGTATCATCTGCAAACTTGGAAATTGTGCTCCCTATACCCAAGATGATTTATATAGATTATAAAGAGCAGTGGTCCTAATACAGCCCCCTGGGGGACACCACTGCACACTTCCCTCCAGTCAGAGAAACAACCGTTCACCACTACTCTCTGCTTTCTGACTCCCAGCTAGTTTTGTATCCATGCTGTCACTGTCCCTTTAGTGCCATTGGCTTCAATTTTTCTAAAGTTTATTATGTGGCACTTTATCAAAATCCTTTTGAAAATCCACATATACTACATCAACTGGACTTCTTTCATCCACCCTCTCCGTTACTTCATCAAAAAACTATCAGGTTTGTTAGACATGATTTGCCTTTAGCAAATCTGTGTTGGCTGTCCTTTATTAACCTATATTTTGCTAAGTGAAAATTTGTTCTGTGCTGGATTATAGTCTCTAGAAGTTTCCCCACTACTGATGTTAGGTTGATTGTCCTGTAGTTCCCGGGTTTATTCTTCTGCCCCTTTTTGTACAAGGGAGTAACATTTGCAACCCTCCAGTCCTCTGGCACCACTCCAGTATCCAAGACGGATTGAAAGATTGTGGCCAGAGCCTCCACTATTTCCACCCTTATTTCCCTCAGTAACTTAGGATGCACCCCGTCCAGACCGGGTGACTTATCTACCTTGAGTACTGACAACCTTTTTAGTATCTCCTCTCAGTTTAATCTTATCTTATCCAATTCCTCTACCCTCTCCTCCGATATTGTGGCATTGTCTGCATCTTCTTCTTTTGTGAAGACAGATGCAAAGTACTCATTCAGTACGTCAGTCATGACCTCTACCTCCACAAGAAGATTTCCTCTTTGATTCCTAGTTGGACCCGTCCTACCTTTGACTTACCTTTTATTCTTTATATTCTTATAAAATACTTTAGGGTTCCCTTTTATGTTACCGCTAATCTTTTTTCATACAATCTCTTTGCCCTCTTATTTCCTTTTTTAGTTCTCCTCTATACTTTCTATATCCTGTTTGATTATCTTCTGTATTTTGGAACTGGCATTTATCATAAGTCTCCTTTTTCTGTTTTATTTTAATCCCAATTTTCTTATTCATCATTGTACAGGTTTGGATGCCCTACCTTTCTGCTTTGTGGAAATGTATTTGTTCTGTCCCTAAACAATCTCTTCCTTGAAGGCTTCCCATTGCTTGATAGCCGTTTAGCCTATCAATCTTTCTTTCTAGTCTATCTTGGCTAGATCTATTTTCAATTCACTGAAATTAGCCCTTTTCCCATTGAGTATCTTCAGCTTTGATTGTTCTTTTTCCCTTTCCATAAGTACTCTAAACCTAATGATGTTGTGATCACTGTTGTCCATATGCTTTGCCACTCAAACCTGCTCCACTTACCCCATTTAATTTCCCAGAACTACAACAACAACAAGATTCCATTTATAGAGCGCCTTTCACGTCGGGAGGACGTCCCAACTAGATCCAGCACTGCTTCCTTCCTCGTTGGGCTGGAAATATACTGATCAAGAAAGTTTTCCTGCATACAATTCAGGAATCCTTCCCTCTCTGTGCCCTTTACACTGTTATTTTGCCAGTCTATGTTAGGATAATTGAAGTCCCCCATTATCACTATTCTATTGGTTTTATGTCTTTCTGAAATTTGTTTTGCAGATTGGCTCGTCTATCTCCTTCCCACTATGTCAATAACAATAAAAGCAAGAAATTGCATTTATATAGCACTCTTCACACAGGGTAGTGTCTCTGAGCGCTTAACAGTGGTGGAACCTGACGCCAAGGCGGAGGGGACTGTAGGCACGGTCCAAGAGGAAGGTTCTGTTCTATTCACTGATATAAACTGGTGTAGCAGCAGAGTCACTGAATAGGGCAAGGCGAAGGGATTGAGGGAGAGTTCCAAAGTTTCAGGGCGTAGTGGCTGAAAGCACAGCTGCCAATGGTGGAGCAGAGGGGATGAAGGACATGCAAGAGGCCGGAGCCAGCCGAGCGCAGGCAACGGGTGGTGGAGTGGGGAGTAAGCAGGTCGGAGGGGTAAGGAGGTGTCAGGGCATGAAGCAATTTGTAGACGAATGTGAGGATCTTGAAGTTAATCCATTCTGTGAAGTGGAATCTGGCAAGGACTGGTGTGATGGGGGTACGGAGTTTAGTGCGGGTGAGTACACAGGCATAGTTTTGAATTAGTTGGATTTTGTGGATAGTGGCGTTGGGGAGACCATCGAGGAGGGCATTTGAAAAATTAAGACAGGAGGTGATGTAAGATTGGATGCAGGTTTCGGCTGCATTGGGTGTGAGTCTTTGTGAATTATTTTTAGAGTTTTAATATTAGCTCCAAGCTACAAAGCTTTAAATCTGGATAAAAAGTGTGTACATGATCAGATGACATTTATAAAGGGTGCTGATTATCTAACTTCCAAGACATACAGACAGAGAGAGAGATATATACAGACACACACAGGCAGGAAGAAAGAGAGATGGTAATGGTCACACGGCACCACTTTAAGGGTAATCTGCAACCAGAACAATACATTTTCTGTATGTGCCGACATACAAAGGATGGTTTATATTTTTGGCAAATCAATTTTTAGGCATACTGATGCCTGCTAAAAAAAAATTCAATAATTTGTATGGACTCAGTTTCTTTCATTGATATCATATTTAATGAAGCTGGAAAGTTTTCAGGATATAAACCATTTTAGACGCAATTATTTTTGCCTCAAACATGATTGTCAAATGCTAAACCGTTTTTATTTGATGTGCTGTCAAAGAATATATTACAATTGTTTCATAATATAATACAGAGTGTATTCAATTTCCGGTGTAGAAATACAATACCTGCTCTTGTTGCCTGCCAGTCTTTGATTAGTCTATTAAACAGCTTCAGTGACAGCCCATACAGGAGCAATTTTTAATTGTAAAATTGAGATGACATCACGCAATAAGAAACAATGCCAGAAGGTTCTTCGGATTTTTGGCCAATAATACAAACCACCCTTTGTATGTAGACACGTACAGAAAATTTGTTGTGATGGTTGCAGGTCACCCTTAAAATGGTGCCGTGTGCCGTGTTTTTCCGGCCAGGTCAGATCAAGCCTAAACAGAGTGATTGTTTGGAATCCCCTATTTTGATATGTGTGAACCCCTAACGTTTTTATTTATATTCCCTAAATGTCATTACTAATTGTATGCAAATAACCTAGACTGTTTGAAGACAGTTATTAGTCATGACTTTTTCCAATGTTCTCCTCCTCCGCTTCTGCTACAGATTTTTAATCTTGCTATATATTGTTCCACAGATGCTAGAAACCTTGCCTAGATAGTCTTTTTTTGTAATTGACCAACTTCACTCCTTCCTAGTCTCCCAAAAGTGCTTTACTCGTTCGACTGGAATACAACTCCACAAAGCACTGAGCACCAACCATAAATTGCCTTGGCATAATCGGGAAAAGTTTGTTTCAGGGCTGGAGACAGTGTAGGTTTCATACTTCTTCACCATATAATGGCTGTAACTTATTAAAAAAGTTAAAACTCTTCTAGATGCTAAAATTTCAAACTACAATTTTGCTGCATTAAAAAATGAAAGATCGAGAGAAGAAACCGTGCTCTTAAAATCAAATGGGTGTTCTGCCTCAAGTAGTGTTTAGTGTTAAACCCCAAATAATTGCAAATTCTGTCCTTGTGATAATTATTGTTGGTGATAGTACATGGTGATACAGTAATTATCACGTTCTGCAATATCAACCTGTAAATATAACTTCTGTTTATTGTAGGTTTCTCTGTACCTGTTTAAAGAACTTCCTCTGCATATTTGGAGAAGTAACTCAGCTGAAATGGGTGTGATTCGTGAATGGCTTCTGAACTACAATTTATCCACTGTGGAGAACAAACTGGCTTGTATCATACTTGAAGGCTTGAACTGGGGCCTTGATGAGCAGGTGTGTTAGTGGGAAATCTCATGTGGGTAAACATGGGCGATATATCAAAAACTGAGTAGGAAGCCTGAAATGAAAATTAAAAATTTCTGTTTCGCTAAAACTAATACAGTAACATAAATTGTTACATAACAGAGAGAGACACTGTATCTGATAGTGAAAGGGCTTTATTTTAAAAACCCTTGATTAAACTAAAACTAATTTGAATTTACTTGAAAATTAGGAGATAAGCAGAAATTAGTAAAAATTAGGAATTTTGAAAATGAGGAGAGACTGCACAGATGCAATATTATTATAAAGGAAAAATGATGAAATCGTAAAATTAAAATTTATATTTTATATGTCACTTCAAAATGACGAAAATCACATCCCATAATGGATTACTTAGGTATTGAAGTATATTATTTATGCAAACAATGTAACTAACCTGTACCATCTATCTGCCACAAACAACAACATGGGTTTTCTCTTATGTAACATATTTGTTCATTTTTTTTATCTTTTAGCAATCAGCACTTGCCCTCGACCCTGCTCTTCACACTGAAGTAGCGTTGATGGTTCTAGAAGCATATCAAAACTATCTCACTGACAAACCATACAGTGGATTCATCTCGGAAAGCATAAAACAGGTAAAATTGTAACAACCAGGCTGTTGGGTAAATTTCTAGATTCTGATTTTTAGTTTAGTTTAACTATTTAATCTTTCCACCTTTCCCTTTTTACAGGATATTCACCAAACTGCAGTATTCAGACACAAAATACCTCAAATTAGATATTTCTGTAAGAGATAGAATGTCATATCTTCTCATTTAACTATTCTGATTGTCAAAAAGAAGTTAGTGATGTTGAAATCGATTTTTATTTTTCCTGATTTTTTTTTTTTGTATTGTTAAAAAAATTTCGACAATCATTTTTTCATTTGGAAGACACAAAAGAGAGAAAAATTGACAAGTATAATAATCAGCCACAAATCACGTTAACTGTTACCCAGTAAGAGCGTGTGTTTCAGACACAAGTTGGTGACAAGCACATATCGTTAGGTTTCTCATCCACCTTACTCATCTTTAACCCCACTACATGCTATTTCTAAGGCTGTAATCATATTTTAATTTGTTTTTCTTAATTTTACTCTTTCTGACATTCTAAAAAATATGTAATATAATTGTAATATTATGTAATATAATATATTCTCTGAAGTGCTTGTGCAATTGGCTGTCACGTTTCATCCATAAACACAGTCACTACACCTTACAGTGTATCCTGTGAAGCGCTTTGAGACGTCTCGACAACATGACAAGGCGCTATATCAATGCGAGGATTATTAGTATTAACTGCATAAAGTGTTTTAAGATGTCCTCCTGATGTGAAATATATGTAAGGATTATTTTTATTATTTTAAGTTGTTTATTGATTTCTATTGAATCTATCTATTGAATCTAGTAATAAATTGGTCATTTTCAATCTATGACTGTTTGTGGGACATTGCTGTGCGCAATTGGCTGCCGCGTTCGCCCACAAATATATAGTCAATTCACTTTACAGTTTGTTCTGTGAAGCGCTTTGGGACGTCCTCCCGACGTGAAAAGCTATATCAAATGCAAGGATTATTATTATTATTATCCAAGCCTAAGCTTCATAATTTAGCTTCTTGTAGGCAAAAAGTAAGCTAATTTTATAGGACATGTAAAGAGAATGGTACATGTTTAGTACCATAGTTGTCCAGCTAGAATAGAGCTAATTATTAGGGTTTTAGATTACAAACTTGAGGCATGTTTATATCTCCACTGATATCCATTGGAATTCAGACATAGATTCTTCCAATTCTAAGTCCAGTGCTCAACGAACTGAACTACTGCAATGCTATTATGCAAAAGGAAAATGTCCAAAAGATAAAATTAAAACTTGCATTTGATAGTGTTATCACAACAAAATGACTCAAAATATTTCGCACAATGATTCACATTGAAGTTTAGTGACTGTTATGTAGGTCACCATGGCAGTTAATCCACACCAGCGACATTTCATAAGTAGCATTAACATTGGTAGCTTTACATGAATCTGGATGTGGCAAGAATGTTGTCAAGATATCAGAACAATGCCTTTTTTTTCCTTCAAGTTAATGCTATAGCGTCTTTAATATTTACCCTAACACAGAGACGGGTCCTTGGTTTAACATCTCTGCTCAATCATTCTTAGAATGATTACAAAGGTGAACAATGTTCTCATTGCACAAGCTCATTCATGTGAGGAAAATCACCTCCAAGATTAGAAGTGATTTGCTAGCAGGAATTCTGCTAATTATGCCACTTGTGTTAAGTTTGTCGGTTGTTATTGGCAGGCCAATTGAAGGAAGAGAACATCACAGCCAAACCTGATCTTCTCCACCTGGTTACCGAATGTAAGCATCCTGGAAAGGGACCAGGAACCTGGTTATTTTCCCCCTTCCTAACCCTGGGACGATTGGGCCCATTTCAGCTTCCCCGTACAGCCCTGGTTGAGACCAGCAAACCATTGGACCAGTGGGCACCGGGTCTGTAAACTGCAATGTTATCCATTGTACCATTGGGCTGACCTGTGACTATGACCTTACATATATATGTTTTATTTTTATTAATTCAACTATTTTTGCTGAGAGTTTTTGATTGTTTATCTCCTATAGTTACTGGTAAGATCAGACGATATCAACCCGTTTTAATTTTGATGAACTTTAGGTGTCCTACTTGGCCAATGTTGTTCGTCTTGGTCAGACTCCTGAGGCCTCATTTAATCATTGGGCATGGGAACTGGTTGTCAGGTTAAAGCTTCACAAGAATCATTCATACACCCAGGAGGGATGGACACCTATCAACGCCTCTCTGGTTGCACCCGACCTGACTGAATCACCTACCCTTCATCCTCTCTTCAAAGCTGTAAAAGCTGGTATTCCTATTGGTTGTTACCTTGCTCTGTCAATAACATCAATAGGTCACAGGTAAGATAACCCATAGAAGATGTTCATTCGTATTAGTATATTTCAGTATCCTTTCTTAAAAGACAAACCATTGCTTACTTTTAGTTATTGGTTTATCCACCTTGGGCAATCAGACATAGTCCTTTTAAAAAGTTTTAGTGACCTCTCTTCTCTTCCTTCAATTCTTAACTAGGATTTTAGTGAGACGCGATAGCGGGTTTGACTCTTCATGCATACGCCTGGCCAATTCACTTCCTAAGCACCAGCCACTTACTGTGTTAAAGAAAAAATGTTTGACTTCCAGACACTTTATAACAGACTGCACTGTAGTTACTATGTAACAAAGAAAAGTCAACATTTAAAATCAATAACCCAGCTGCTGGCAAGTTGTAAATAAACACTGCTTGTGTTTGATGTAGCTCCTTATATAGAAACATTGCAAAGCAATTCACACAACTAAATGCAGTCATGCTCAGAATCCAACTCCATCTTTGTAAAGCGCTTGTAGCCATCATTAGGTAGTTTGTAGGCAAACACAACATCCATCTACCCCAGCAAAATGCACAAACAGACTTGAATTTTGAAAGAAAAATTGTAAAAGAAATTTTGTAGGACATGGCCATGGAGTGTCTAGAAACCAAAAATAGGAAACTTGTTCTTAACATCACAATTCACAAAATCTCTTTCAGAAGAAGTTACTATAAAGTAAGTGTAATTAGAAACCTGATATCTCACTTTCTTCTGTCTTTTTAGCATTGACAAGTTCTGCTCTGAAGGCATACATCTGCTGGGCATACTGGTACAGTCAAAACATCTTAAAGCAGTGGTTCATGTGCTGGATAAGGTCTTACCACTCTTTTATCCTTGCCAGTATTATCTTCTGAAAAATGAACAGTTAAGTAGAAATTCACTTGCTCAATTTAAAATAAAGTAGCACAAAATAAAAATCGTCCGTGTTTGGAATCTTGACTGCAATGATCTTTCAATCCAAAATTGTTACAGTAGTATATAGAATAGAGTAGAATTCTTATATCCACTCTGGACAAAATAGATGCAGAGGAGAATAGTTTTTCTAGGCCTAAGATAGCTGCTGCTAACTCAGAATCCTCAGAACCATTTGTGCAGAGTTGGATAAATAAGAATTCAGATATGAGCCATGATTTTGAAGGAGTGAGCTAGTTCGGTTGAAGTTGGGGAATTCAAGGCCAAAACAAAGCCCTGAACAAGCCCACTTCACGCGATTTTCACTATGTAGTGTGGTGACTGCGTAGTTGTCGGTAAACATGGTAGCCAATTTGCACTTAGCAATATCCTACAAATAGCCATGAGAAATTGCTTTCAATATATTGCTGCATTGTGCTAAGCAGCCTAGGTTAAATTCATTATAAAATTTACAAAACATTTTTCTTTCTTCCTTACCACTAGATTTTTAGCCTACATGCAGCTTTTTCTTCAGACCGACAGTGGTGTGCCTCAAGGAGTGACACAGCAAGTCACTCAGAAAGTAGCGCAACATTTGATTGGGGTCAGCTATGGAGAAAATGTGAAGTTTTTAAGCAGCATGATCCAGGTATGGAAAAGGAATAGTAGGAGGTAAATTAATGCACAGGAACAGTGTTCTTGAAGAAGATAGTGGCATTAATTCCTGGTTGAAAACCCCACAGGAATAATATAAATATCTATTTGTATCAATTTGGACTTTGTGTTATAGCTGTTGAGAAAAAAGAATGTGTTCCGCATAAAGGAAGAAACCAGAATCTTCATGGCAACATTAATAATGAAGTAGATGTGACAGTTCTTTCTTTCTAGCATAATACCATTATTACATCTATACTCAGTTGCATTTGGATAATTCTCTTTGGCAAGAAGGTGGAATGACAGCTCCTGATTAATGCTAAAATATGACAGAACTGGAAGTCCATTTGGTCATTCATTAAATTTTCTAACTGATAATTTACTAAGTAAAATCTGTTTAAAGAATGTATATATGGTAAATCTCCTCAGAAGGATGATAGAATATAACTTACATGGAGTGACATAAACATTCTAATATTGCTATTGCTTTTTTTTAAAAAAGTTTGATATCCTGAATTAAGTTTCCAAGTAAAGGAGTTTAGTTCATCTTGTATTATTATAACAAACTGAAATTCATATTTTGCAGGTTCATGTATCAGAAAGCAACAAACCTGGTGGAGTGGGAGTAACCGCTGTTCTGGATTTCTGGATTCAGGTTTTGATGAATCAACACTTGTGGCACAGAGACAAAACAGTTCTGTTTCTGTTGGATAATCTGTGTAAAATTGCATTTCTATATCATCAAGAAGACTGTTTGCAAAAGCCTCTTTACCAACAACACAAGGTAATCGTATATAAAATTGGCACCACTCGAAAAGAGAAGGAAGGGTGTTTCTCCCAGTGTTCTAGCCAACAATTCACCAGATACAATGGGCATTCACTTTATGGCTGTTTGTGGGACACTGATGTGCGCAAGTGAATAATAACCCTTGCATGTGATATAGCGTCTTATAATGTTGAGATGTCTCAAACCACTTCACAGAATAAACTCTAAAGTGAATCGACTATATTTTGTAGGCGAAAAGCAGCAGCCAATTGCAGTGTCCCACAAACAGTTGTGGATAGAGTGATCAAATTGTTGTTTTGGAGGGATTATTACTATTACTGTTATTACCTATTGTTAGTTAAACAGCTGCGGAGTAAGGAAACTTTCCTAAGGTTTTTACCTGCCCAGGAATCAAACCCAGGTCCTCTTGGTTGGGAGACGAATATTCTAATCACTATGCTACGGGAAACCAGAAATGAACTGACACATTCACATACAAATACACAGTCACTACACTTCATAATAAATCCTATGAAACACTTTGAACTGTCCTCATGATCTGTGAAAGGTGCAATACCAAGTGCAAGACTTATTATTATAATTTATATTTTCAGGTGCAAACTATGCACGTAAAAATCAAAAGTATGTGTGATTTTATTCAATCAATAAGATTAGCAAAATTATTTAGAAAAGGCCTACTTTGTTGAATATTCAGGATATTTGTCTACATTTATAAAAGGTAATGAAAATATTAGCCATTTCAAAGGTATTTCAACATAGCTCTATGTTAGTTTCTGTTTATATTTTTAAAAAGCTGTATAGGTTTGTTAAAAATAAATGACTGATTTCTGTCAGTTCTAATCAGTCAGTTGGCTTAGCTCCATTGACAGTCTAAAGTCACCTACAAGGCCATTCACGGCCTTGCTCCCTCCTACCTCTCTGACCTACTATCCCCCTACCTACCTGCCCGTACCCTCCGTTCCTCTGGCTCTGGTCTGCTCCACATCCCCCGCCCCAACCGCCCTACCATCGGTGGCCGGGCCTTCAGCCTCTCAGCGCCTAGGCTCTGGAACTCCATCCCCCAGTGCCTTTGCCTTGCCTCCTCCCTTTCCTCCTTCAAGGCCGGTCTCAAGACCTTTCTCTTTGACCGTGCCTTCAGCTCCCCTCTCGACTCTCTACCCCCTCCTCGCTCCCTCCCTTCCCTCCCCCTGACCATTTCCCCCCTGCTCGGGTCCTGACCCAACTGTACAGCGCCTTGGGACGTCCTCCCAACGTGAAAGGCGCTCTATAAATGGAATCTTGTTGTTGAAGTTGTAAAGTTATGAATGAACTTTTGAATTATGAATGATTTTTTTATTGTGTGTATAACATAAAAACATCTCCAAGCACTTCACAGTGATTGCTATCAAATATAAATATAGCCTCGCTCCCTGCCTTCCTATTTTCAGGTCTCTGCTGAAGACCTCTCTTTCCGACCGCGCCTTTGGTCACCTTCCCCCCCCTCCCCCTGGCTCGGTCCCAGGATCCATTACTGTGAAGCGCTCTGAGACACCGTCCGGAGTGGAGGGCGCTATATAAATCCAAGTTGTTGTTGTTGATTTTACAAGCAAATTTTGTATTATATTGAGTTACATTGAACATTATGGCACAGAAACTAGAGTGTCCTGGTAGTTTTACTCCAGTGCTTTCTAAATAATTTTGCTAATCTTAAAGAATAAACCACCCTATCATACCTCTCTATTCCATTCTCCCTCACATGCGTATCAAGTTTCCTTTTAAATAGGTTCAATTTTTCACACAGCAAAATTCCCATAAACAGCCACAAGGTAAATGCCAATTAATCTGAAAGATCATTGACCAGGACACTAGGAGAATCTCCTTTCTTATAGCAATCAGGCTTGAAGCCATAAGGCTCTATAACAGTGTTTTATGTCAAACGTTTATCTTTTTTTATCGCTTGTTTTTAAATAAATATTTGATTTACTTTGCTGATGTTTAGAATGCCCTTGGATACCATGGTGATCGAGGACTTCTGTCTTCACTTGTGAGTTGGATGTTGGCTGGTAACATAACTCCCTCTTTTATTGAAGGCAATGCCACTTCCAATGAGGTAAATCTATGAAAATTGTATGTTTAAGTTAGAATTGTGCAGCATTTGTTTACCATTGACCCTTGTCTAAAACTGATGAGTGAGATAAAAATTTAGTTACTGAGTAAAATCGTAAAATAGAAATTTATAGCACAGGAGTACAGGACCATGTCTCAGACCATGGTTTTTTATATATAATTTTACACTATAAAATACATTACATGTAATTGTAATTGAATAAAAGCATCAAATAGGCCGCCACAGAATGCCAAACAGCAAATAGGCCAATCACAATCAACTTTTCCACTGAAATGTATTTGGTAAAAGGGAGTGACTGATTTGAGGGAGTGAGATTGGTGGGATTGGCATGCATATTGTAAGAGCAGAACCAGGAGAAGAGAGGCACAAGGAAACAAATAAATCAGTTTGTATGGATATATGGAAAGAATGGATGAAATATGCTGCCTGGAACGTTCTCCTCAACTAGAATTATGAGAATGAAAGAAAAAGCAGCCAGTACTCAATTCATCATTCATCATAAGCACTGAACAGCCATTGTGTCAGCAAAACATGTAGCAATTAGCTACAAAGACAGTCTCATGTTTCATTCATTTCATGTTATTTTAATGTCTTCCTTATCCTTAGGTTTTACAACATTAAACAACAACATTGTGTTGACCAATTCAACTATTACTGTTGCACCCCATTGACCACATTTTTACAGCCAGCATGAATGGAATAATGGTTTATATTCAGTGTTTGTGGTTGCCAGTCAGCATTGGTGACATGCATACAATGTTGGACTTCTAATATAAAGACCCTTAAGGGATATTAAGTACTACCTCCTTTCATCCACCTTAACAACGATCCTTTTTATGTCCAAAACCCTACACATCTAGAGCACAATGTTTAGTATAAAATGTAATTGATCTGAATTTTTAAAAAATCTTTATAGGTCTGGTTTTCTTGGATCGTATTCAACATGGAGGCAATCTTTGAAGAGGACTCCCAACTTCGTAGATGTGTGGAACTTGAACTAATTACCAAACCTTCAGTTACTCCTGATCAAGCTCTAAAGGTATTTACAAGATGATCTGGTACAACACACCTTGCTAATTCACAAATCCACGTATAGTCCTATGAATCTGCAATTACCAGAAGTACACTTCCAGATGTTAATGTTCTAAATGCAGACCAGCTTTTACAATTTCTGATAAACTTGAACATTGACTTCAAAGTCACTTTGATTTTTTTCTAAACTTATTTTAAAGAATTTTCCCAAACAATAACAGAATTTTTCAAAACTCAATACAAACTCGCAAAATCTATTGAATAATGGAGTAATAAAATTATCTCAATGAGTCAACTACAGATGCTGAAACTCACTTCACATTGTATTAATATTGGCTCAGTTGATATCATTCACTTCTAAATCAGAAGGTCGTGGGTTCAAGCCCTACTTGAGGACTTTGAATTCTCAACCAAGGATGATGCTTCGCAATACAGTGCTGGGGAAGTGCTGCATTGTTGGAGGTGCTATCCTTCAGATCAGACATTAAACCAGTTATTGTCTGCCTATCCAAGTGGATGTTAAAGATCCCCTGGTACTCTTCAAAAAGAGATTTTTCCTGGTGTCCTGGTTAAGAATCTCTCAAATAAAAATTGGTTACTTCATGGCTTTTTGTAAGATATTTCTGTGTGGAATTTGGCTGCCTAGCTTTGTCTACAAATTATACAATCACTACACTTTACAGTAAAATACTGTGAAGAGCTTTGAGACGTCCTCCCGATGTGAAAGGATTTATGCCACCTACATGTGGTGATGATTATTATTAAATGTGGACAAATGATCATATAGCTTTATAAGTTTTAAATGTGTTATTTTTACAGAAAGCTCAAAGTCGTTTAAAGCTCCCCGTTGTGCCATCGATACAGAGGCTCCTGATCTATCGCTGGGCCCACCAAGCTTTAGTTACTTCTGCAGATCACCCACTTCTGCCACTCATCTGGCAAAAGTTCTTCTTACTGTACCTTCACCGACCTGGACCGGAATTTGGGTAACCTTCAAAGCCTTTTTTTAATTCTCAAGTTTACTGACATTCCTGTTGTGGATTTCTTAAGTAACAATTAACTTGTTAATGCCGATGACTTAGTCTATTCTATGATAACAATAATAATCCTTGCATTTAATATAGTGCCTTTCTCTTCATCAAAATATCTCAAGGATTTACTGTGAAATGTAGTGACTGTATATTTGTAGTCAAAAACAGCAGCCTACAAGGAATAAACTCCCTTTACTGTTTCAAATGCCATGGAATCTTTAGCATCAATCTGAACAATCAAATGAGACTCAATTTATCTGGTCAGGAAGGACGGGCACCTGATGATGCAGCACTTCACCTTGCACTGCACAGGATTGTCAGCCAAGAAGACTATGAGCTCGATGTGGGGCTTGAACCCACAACGTTTGACACAGAGGCAAGCGCTCTGGGATGCTACCCTGTGTGAGGGGTGGTATATAAATGCAAGTTATTGTTAAGTGCTACCAATTAAGCCCAGCTGACACAAGTTTGATTGGTGGTTCATAGTTGGCCTTTTTAAGATCTTTGTTTAAGAAAACAAAACAGAAGTTGCAAAGGAATCTTCTTTTCAAACATGCATATGTAATAAAAATCAAATGATACTCCTACAAAAAAATTGTTTTCATATTAATTGGGGCATCTTTGAGCAGGCAAATTCTATTATGTATATTGGGTTTCACTGTCACTGACCGGGTACTGTTTAAATTGTAATATTTGCTTTTGAAAGAAAATAATGGGTTTCTTCTTCAGCTTACCTGTCAGTAGCTGTATTGGGAGACGTTATTTCCATAACCCTGCACAGTCTAATTTGTTGAAAGAAATGAAGAAACGTCTGGCCGAGGTAGCAGATTTTCATCATGCAGCAAGTAAGGCTGTAAGGAGCTGGAGGAATGAGAGTTGTATTAAAAGTTCTTCAGTAGACAAGAACTTTGGAAGTCCGAAGTTAGAACCCACATCACCAGAACTGCACAAAGAACTGCTCAGGTATAAATTATTTTTATTTCAATCTCTTCCCAATGTTTGCTTCTTTGCGTCCTCACTATCCTCGCGCCAGGCGAGGATATAGGAACAAAACACTGCCATTGCTTCTTATCAACAACTAGAAGGCAACTGTTAATGTACAATTTCAATTTACTTTTTGTAGGCTTTTCCGTGTTTTTGCCTTTTGGCTTGAGGATATGAATCTACAAAAAACTGATCTCTATCTACCTTCTTTGCCTTTACATTATGATACACACAGACTGGCAAAGGTCATGCAGAATCAGCAGGTAAATATTAAAGCTATTATCTGCAAATCCATTCACACACTGGACAGGAATAAAGTCAAGTAATAATACAATAATAATCCTTGCATTTGATGTAGCTCCTTATCACATCTTTTAGAAGTCTCAAAACGCTTCACAGAATATGCTGTAAAGCATATGTATATGCATGTAAACTAACAGTATATTTTGTGGGTGAAACACGGTAGCCAATTGTGCAGAACAGAGTCCACACAGTTGTGGATTGAGTGACCGAATTATTATTTATTTATTTATTTATTTTGAAGGGATTATTACCCCTGGAAAAGCGATCCGCCAATTGACTAACAGCCGGTTTACTGCTAGGTAAACAGAGGCGTGTGGAGTAAGGAAATTTGCCCAGTGTTTCGTCCTGCCTGGGAATTGAACCCGGGTCCTCTCACTTGGCGGCGAGTGCTCTAACCACTGAGCTACAGGACTCCACCTAGTGGAAAAAAATGCCAAGTGTCAAGTATAAACACTGACACTGACTAGTTGGGCCGAATGTATTGAATATAATAATTCCTGATTCAAATTCCGATGTGGAGTTTGAACCCAAAGCCCTCTGACTCAGAGGCTATGAACTGAGCCAGGCTGACACCCAAACGTGATTTGAATAATGATCTTTTTGTTTCACTTAGGATCTGTGGACTGAATACATTGACAATGAACGTATTAAACATGAGGTCTATGAATCCATGAATCTGTGGATCCAGCTTCAGAATGAACCTTCTGTCACTTACAGGACATCTGGCTTTTCAAACTGTTGTGATCCTTTTTCAGGCAAGTGTTACAAATCTGTTACAAAACTTACATGCTCAAATAAATTATTTTGGCAAAGTAGTTATCAAATAAAAAAGAAAATATATTGTACAATTGAAACAGCAAATTATTCTCACCATCAAAATCCATCTTAAAAGAAAAGCCTTTTTTTAAAGAACTATGATTAAAATTTGATTTCCTTAGTTTATACAAACTTATACAGTTTGCCTGCAACTCAAACTTTAAATAAGTCGTATTAAATGTTATGGTCCTCACTGATACAATGTATGAGTTTTACTGTATAATTTTATTGTATTAACCTCACTCACCATGTCAAAACAATGTGAGTTAGTAATAAACAAAACAGCAACAACTTGCACTTATAGAGTGCCGTTCATGCAGGGTAGCGTCTCAGAGCACTTTACAATGGTGGAGTTGGGGGAGAGGTGACCGTAAGCACGGTCGAAAAGGAAGGTTTTCAGGGGATCTTGTAAAAGAGGAGAAAGATGCTAGGTTGTGTTGCCAAATGAAGTGAGTTCAGATCCACAGAAGTGGGCTCTTCAGTATTGCAAAAATATGTCTCAGTGAGGACCTTATAGTGGTATATAAGATTTTAAATGTTACAGTACAGGATTAGGGTTACAAAGGACAATTTCAGGCCAAAAGTCTTTCTTTAGTATTTCATAAGGTAATTAATGATTGGAAAAGGTTACCAAGCAGGGTGGTTGAATTTTGTTCATTCACAGTATTTAGAATATGAAATGCCCTGCCAGGAGCAGTGGTTGAGGTAGAATCCATATTAGTTTTCAAAAGGGAATTAAATAAATAGCTAAAGGTTAGTACTAAATGGGTATGGAAAAGTGCAGGTAAATGTACTGAAAGGATTGCTCTTAAAAGAGCCAGTTCAAGCGAGATGTCCCCCTTCTGTGCTGTAAATTTCTAAACTTCTAAGCCGAGAGCTAGACACATTTTTAAAAAGAGTTTGATGCTGTGATGGGAGCATGGTAGGTGGTTTGCTGGAAAGATGAGATAAAATGGACTGAAGAGAAACTTAACCAAAATAAAGGTGTATAAAGAATGTTGGAATAGCGAGACAAAGTTATCTTTGTTAATGCTTTGTACTTTTAAGTCTTTATACCCTCAAGGTAAGAAATTCGTCCAAATAGTTGGGCCAGCAGAATTTGTTCAGGATTTCTTATGAAGAGCTAGTGGAGCATTTCTCAATAATGAAGATACCTTGAGTATCTATGGAAGTTTGGGGCTAGCATAAGTGACTTACAAATGGAAACAGTTGTGAGGTGCTAAAGAACAGTGAGCACAGTGAATAATGTTGGAGTTTTGTGACCACTGTCGTTTGGTTTATTCACATACAAACTTGTGGAATTCTTGAAATAAAATGACATGATTTTCTAGTCGCATTGGTAATAGTCATGACAATGACTATCAACGTTTATTCAAATACTAGTGGTAATGATTTTTATTTTTTATTTTAGCAAGAGATAGGATCTTTATTAATCTGAAGAACCATGATACTCCTCAGCCTCCTGCTTGTGTACAGAAACTGAAAGCACCTGTTCCAGACATTGCCGCAACCAGTCTATCAGACAAGAAAGAAGCAATGAGACTTATTCAACGAGATTTAAGTTTCTTGCTACAACATGCAAAGTAAGAGTCTAGAAGCTTTAATGTATGTAATAAATAAAAATCCCTAAATTATTTTGAATTGCCTTCAGTGATTTCAAACCCAAATCTTCGATCAATGATGGAACATGGACTAGAAAACAATTTGATTTTTACAACCAGGTGACCAAAACCAATCGCCATGCTTTAAGAGAATATAAACCAGCCAGACAGAGTTCCACATATGCATGCCACATTGTGCATGGAAATGTGCCTTTGCCCTTGGAGAAATGCACTCTGCTTATCTAATTTCAGAAAGTTTTATAAATAATAATCCTTACATTTGATATAGCGCTTTTCATGTCAGGAGACATTTCAAAGCGTGCCACAGGATGCACCCTGACTTAATTCCCATTTACAGGGTAAACAGGAGATGCTATTTCCATGCGTAGGGGAGTTGGTGACCAGACAACATAGTTATGATAGTCACAAGAACATCTTAGAATTTATTTTCACTGAGAGAATTATTGGGATGTGAAATGCCCTGTCAAGCAAGATGGTAAAGGTAAAGTCCATTGTGGATTTCAGGATGAAAATAGATATATGATAGAGGCTTGAAGAAGATTGGATATAGGCAGGGTAGTGGCATTGAATGTGCACCTTGCTCTGAGAGCTGGTTAGACTCAATGGGCCAAATGGCCTCCATCTAGACTGTAATGTCTATGATTCTATGATATACTGAGTGACTGTTTATTTGGGGGGCAAATGTAGGTGTAGGTTGGCAAGGTCCAAAAATTGGGAACCCCAGAGTATGTATCAGGGTAATAATAATAATAATTCTTGTATTTGCATTCAAGATTTTCAAATTTGATGAGGGTACTGCTGAAGTTATAAATATGTAGATTGCCACATAAACACTGTCTGGTAACTTTCCTCTCCCTTCGGGCTCTGAATTAGAACAAAAATCTACTTGTAATTGGCATACTTATTTGTACGCATACGTATTTTATAATCTGTCATCATTTTTTCTGACATTTTCTGACATTTCTTTTCAGAGTGGAATATCTTACATTCTTTGGATTCTCTTAGTTTTTTCTAAATTAATATTCTTTTCACTGGCTTACTCCCCCAACTGTCTTTGCTTAAGGCGGATTCTGTTATTTAAGGAATTTTGGAGTCCTCTCAGGAGTTCTGTCACATGTGAAATAGCTTCAGAACTGTGAGTCAGATACGGAATGCATGTTTGAAACACTGTTTTGATTTATGGAAACTCAAGAAAATTGTGTAATTTACAAGATTGGCACATCCAACCTATTTAGGCAAATTATAAAATGTTGGATTTCTTACACTTAACTTCATTTTTATTCCCGTTGTATTTGACCTTTTGTCATAGTGAATTATGCCTGGAAGACAATATATAATTGAAATGGTTTACAGTTAATTTCATATTTTGTAAAATAATTCAATTAATATGTATAATTTCAAGAAATATCATGAATAAAATGTCATTCTCTTTATTAAGAATGGCAGCTCTACGGGAGTCACAGCAAGTAGCACTAAGCTTGGAGCTGTTGGACGTGATACCTAAACAATACAGCAACCGAGAAGAACAAATCACAATGAAGCTGGAATGCCAAGGCAATGCCTCTTCTAATCACGTGTGCCAAGGCGCAGCAAGAATCCCTGTTAAGGTTAGTGGTTTTCTGCCACTGTACTGCATAACAATAAACCAACCAATAAACCAATCAATGACATTAGACACTGAAGATTGGTACAGAAAAGGTTTTATGAAAGCAAGGGGAAAATTGTTTGTATGCTCTGTAGAACTAGTATTTTAATTCCTTTATGCCAAAATAAAATTTGGGGGGTGAAAGACATGATGTATGATGTAATAAAGATTATGATTACCATCACCCATTTCTGACTTCAGCACAAATGATTGGTATCAAAGCCAGCCCAAGGTAGCATTATTGTTGTCAAAAGTGCATGGCATTTGAGAGCAACTTCATAGCATACCAGCTCAAATTATAGTGGTATTAGTGTCTGATTATTATTATGCATCCTCTTAATAATTATGTCAAGAAAGAATATCAGCTAAAACGTCAGTGGTAAATATCAGGTTAGGCAGTCAACAATTTCAGACAATACGTATTTGCATATATTCTTGAAATAATTGTTTTCTGTCACAATTTTTAGTATGAGGGTGTGTACATGAATGATGCCATCAAACAACAACTTGGTACTTTGCGGAGAGACTTCAAGCAGTTGCAAACTGATGCTGCAAAGCCCCCTCCTCAAAATATTGCTGAAGCAGCGGTACACGTGGAAAATTTTATAACGTAAGTTGATTCTTCAAAAATAAATGGAAGTGTAGATAAGTTTATCTTATGGGAAATGAAATTGTACAACAACAACAACAAGATTCCATTTATAAAGCGCCTTTCACGTCAGGAGGACGTCCCAAGGCGCTGCACAGTTGGGTCATGACCCGAGCAGGGGGGAAATGGTCAGGGTGAGGGGAGGGAAGGGAGGGAGCAAGGAGGGGGGAAATGGTCAGGGTGAGGGGAGGGAAGGGAGGGAGTGAGGAGGGGGAAGAGAGTCGAGAGGGGAGCTGAAGGCTCAAATTGTACTATTAAAGAAACATCAAACATGCATTCATTCAAGATCTCCAAATTTGATGAAATGTGGGAAATATTTCTAAATGTTGTCATTAAGTTTACTATTACAAAATACCCAGTAAATCATTCAAATTACTTTTAACTTCTAATAGAGAGAAGAATATTGTCAGAATTACTAAAATCTTTCTTGAAAGGGGGGAGGGATAGAGAGGCGACATAGCATATTTTGTGCCACTAACCAACCATAGATGACTAGTTGATTTGTACCTCAAGTTCCCCCACACATGAATGAAGATTTTGAAACATATCTTCAATAATTGCAATTAATTTGAAACTGAGTCACAATTTTATTCTTGCTCTGAACTTCCTTTCCAATTTTTTTTATCTCTTTATATTGGTTTGGCTGAAACCAGTTATACTGCAAGTTTGCACATCAATTTGTTTCCAGAGAAGGTCTCAAAATTGAATCAGTACCTGTCATTGAAAACATTATTTGGCACCTATGTAGTGCCTTTCACATACATGATCATCTCCAAAGCACTTTACAAACACAGAGAGGGAGTCTGCGCTGGGAGGGAGATTTCAGGTTACAGAGAAGTCTCTGAATGCACAGTCAAAGAGATTGTTTTAGACAGGTTTTGAAATAACAGAGGGAGGTGGAGGGATTTCAGAAGAAACTTCCAGGGAAGCACAGCTCACCCGCCAAAGGTGGGGCATAGTCGATGGAACAACTAGCAGGCCAAAGTTGGCAGAGCAAAGGGCCTGTGTGGGGAGTAGGACTGCAGGACATTACATAGGTAGGGTGTAGCATGGACATCAAAGCATTTTAAGGTAATCAGGATCATAAACTTAATTATTCTAGATTTTTAGCACTGATTCATCATGGAAAACATATTGAATCATTGCAAACTGAGGAAAATGTAGGGCATTCTTCCTACACTTGTCTTAAAATTATTTAAAGGTAGCCATTTGACCAATAAAAAAAATCACAACTGTTTCTTAAGAATTGAGTAGTATTTTTTAACTCACCCATTTTGTTCATTCCATATATGATACCCGACAGGACTTTGGTGAATGCCTTCAAACTCCAGCAATTGGCAAGTTATCAGCAAGTGGGGATTGCTGTATTTTATGAAATTGTCTCTTTTGTTTGTGATGAAACTCAGCGACATCCACCAACAAGGCAGTTCTTTACATCCTGCATTGAAATCCTTGGACAGGTATGACCATTCTTTAATCAACACATTAAAATGTAATAAATTTGAAGTACAATATAAATTTATGTGAAGTTTGTAATACACGTATTGTGTTTAAAATATTTTTGTTCTTTCCACTTCCATCTTCTCTTTTGCCTGTAGTGGTTATTGTTGATGTGGTATACTTTAGAATTATTCACTGGTGCCAGCAGGTCTCAGAACTTGCGAAAACTTAGACCGTAAGTGTTGGCACATTGTACAAACATTAGGTATTAGGTTGAGAACCCCAACTTGTGTACATATTGTGCTCACGTGACTTCCACACTCAAGCACCTGCCATCTGGCATCATTGAAAAATAATGAAGCCAGAAAAATGTGGTTTTTATATTTTTCTCCATTCCTTAAACCAGGGCATTGAAATTAATTTGGCACTATTAAAGCTCCCCCAAGAGAGATCAACTATGTCAGTATAGAGCATGAAACAAATCTGGGGTGTTCAACAGCTTGTATGGATCAGTACCACACCATGCCATGCATTTACCTATTGGAGTGTTCTAACATATAGGATTTGGGACTGGATGAGATACCACTAAGTTTAATTGGGACTGATGCTTGGAAATAGCCTGCAGACTCCCATTGCGATTTACCACAGGAAAGGTATCAATGTTTAGTGTAATGATTAGAAATATAGACAGCATGTTGAATGTGAGGAAAGTTATCTTCAATACAAGGAAAATGTAATTGTATAACATATTTGTTAGAAAGAATACTTTAAACAGAAAATGCTGAAGCTAATATTTTCTTACTTCTTTAAGTTGATCAATAAATGGATATGTGTGAATTCAAAAAACACAAAAGAATTTTCTAACCTATGCAACTTGATTTTTCTTTGTCTTCAGATTTTTATTAGTAGCTCAAAAACAGAAAGCAAAACTGTATTGAAAACCATTCTTCAAAACCGAAGACTGTGCAACCTTTTGTCACCATACTTCACACCAAATATATCTCCAGATAAATTTGTCAATCTTTATGAAAAAGTAGTCAGCGCCCTCCACACAAACAAGGGCGATGTAATCTTCATGCTATTAACAAAGGTAAGAGACCTTTTTGAGGTACAAGTGCCTGATAATTTTTTGAAGAATGATTTCAAAGAATGAAGAAATCTCACATAAAATGACCAGTTTGTTTAATCAGTGTCCCAAACAACATTACTTTAACGGTTAATATGCATTACCATTTTTAGCAGAAACATATGAACAATTTCTTCAAATTAACAGTTGTATTTTTCGTTTAATTACAGTTTGACCTCGTGCTGTGGTTGAACTCCACCAAGCCAGTTATGTCTGAACGTAATCAGCTATTGGAGTTGATTCATTTAGCCCTCACTTTATGTGGCCTTCAACCAAAAGAAGAAATCCAAATGCCTTTTAACATTTTTTGCAAACATTGGATGTGCATTCTCCGATATCAGTTCCCTGATCACTATAGTGACTTTCTCCGACTCCTATTGCAAAGTAAGTTGATTCACTAATTTACATTAGCATTGGACCTTTTACAATTTTTTACTAATGTATCTGGTAATTTACTGTAATTTATTGATGAAAATTTAGACTTATTTAGTCAGTTTAATTGACAAATCCTGAAATGTACTTTCAAATCTGATTAAAACTTATGGGAAAGCTATATGGTGCCCAGATAGACGAACACAAGCATGGGATGAGTTCCAACACTAACCTAACTAACCATTGTAAACTGGGATTTAATAGTTTGCTAACTTTAGAGAGCAGCACGATTGACACAGGATGTGGTGAGTGTTTTGATTCTGCTTGTTAAACTCTTATTCTTACCAAAAATTACAGTATTCCTTAACTTCACTGGAAATGTAATTAATCCATAGAAACAGCTCACACATAGTTGTTTAGTTACACAGGTTATCCGTTTATATAAATATATCAATGGCCACATATGCAGGAGATTGCAATTAATAGCAGTAATCTAGAATTTAGAAATTTATGATTTAATATTTTGTTGTAATTTTGTCCATAAATCTGTGTCTGTTGTATGCTACTCATGAAATTTAAACTTAAATTTAAATTTAAAATTTAAACTTCTATTCTGACATTAACTTCAAAAGTAAATTTTTGCTGCTTTTTTTTTCAATCCCACTTTGCCCCCAAATATATGGTCCCCATGCTATTCTTTGAAAGAGGTTAAAATAGTCTTGCCTATTGACACCCTTGGTTGTTTTCCAAATAGTATTCTACAATGGCACATAAAAGATTCTTACATTCTCTCTCAATCGTATCAGATTTTCTATCCTTGGTGAATCAGTGTGATGAGATGCAACATTTTTTCTATTGAAGAAACAGAGATACAAATATAAATTAAGACTACAATGTTAATTTTGGTATTTATCTGTGATCTCATCACCCACCCTCACTCGTCTCCACTGGCTCCCCATACCCCAGAGGATACAATACAATACTAGAGTTCATCAGGATAATAAGGATGGAGTTCAAAATCCTCGTCCTCACCTTCAAGGTCCTCCGCAGCCTTGTCCTTCCCTACCTTTGCGACCTGCTGACCCCATATCAAATTGTCCGCTCCCTCCGCTCAGCATGCTCTGGCCTGCTCCACGTCCCCCGCCCGGCCCGCCCCACCATCAGCGGTCGGGCCTTCAGTCTTTCTGCCCCCACCTTATTGATCTCCATCCCTCATTCCCTTTGCCTCACTCCCTTCTTTGCCTCCTTCAAGGCGCATCTCAAAATACTCCTCCTCCACCAAGCTTTCGGCCACCCTACTACTCTCCACCCTCCCTGATTCCGATCCCCAGTTCGGATCCAAATCCTTGGCTGTCCAGCACCTTGGGACGTCCTCCAGACGTAAAAGACGCTATACAAATGTAATTTTGTATTGTATTTAGGAGCTGCTGGATAACTTAATGTCTAATGTGATTCTTTATCAGTGGTTTAATTAACAGATAGGAAATAGCATTTTAGTACCACTAACAGTATTTAACACCTGGAAAATATTTCAAGGAAAATTTCCTTGCACTTAATATTCCCACTTTTTGGCATAAGGTTCTTCAGAACAGATGTTGAGTCCTGACTGCTGGAAGGCTACTCTACAGACCTTAGAATGCACCATCTCAGAAGAAAACACACGTTCCGGAATTACTAGATGTTCAACAGCCCAGCAATCTCAAAACATTAGTCTGTCAGTTAAGCAGGTAATGCAAAATTTTAACTGTTTTCTGAAATGAGGAAAATTAAACTTTCTCAGCCTATTGTGCCTGTTCTGGTACCCTGACAGAGTGATAAAATTATGTCCACACCCCTGCCTTTTCTCTATATCCTTTTATATTTTTTTCAAATAGTTTCTTAAATATTTCAAAAAGCCCGAATGGATTCTACTTCAATTTGTTTTTGGTAGATTCATAAAAAGAACCAGATAAAATGCGCAATTAGCAATGAGATCCTCCTCTTTACTAATATCCCTGTACTTTTTATGAAACTTAAAAGGATTGATTTACTGTGATTAATTGATTTATCAATCAAAGTGAAGATTTTCTATATATTACAAAATATTGGTTACTGAGTCAACCAATTCTCTTAAGCCTGTATAGAAAAACTACTGTGGGTGTGTGTGTGTGAAAAAGAGGGTGTGATATATAAGAAAGTGCTCTCATTTACATATTTGTGATGTTTGCTGTATGATTATGTAAGACATTTTCCTAAGGATTATGTGCATCTATCCTATGAATTGAAGAAAGGACTTTTTTTTACAAATTTCAAATTTATTATTTCAAACCAATACAAAATGCAACCTTCAGTTGATATACTAAATATCAAAATACTAGAGATCAACCCTCATCTCATTTACTGACAAACATTTTTGTTACCAGTCAGGGAAATTGATAATGGTGCATCAAAGGATATTACCACTTTATAACATTGATATGTTTCAAAGTTCCTCACAGGTAATCTCTGTCAATGTCAATTTGTTGATCAATGCGGTAGCACAGTCCCACATCCACAAATGAGATGAATGACCATTTGAACTGGAGGATTGTTGGCCAGGATAGTAGTAGAAGCTCCTTCTCTTTTCAAATAGTGTTCTTGTTTTTTTTTAATATGTTTTCAGTCAAACTAGACCTCACTTTAACATGTCAGCTGAAAGCTGATATTGGAATGGATACTGTGTATCTAAAATCTACTAAGTACCAAAACATAAATGATAAAATAGTTTGATTTTTGTCATTGCCAGATAGAGGAAACCATACAATGGCTTTCTGATTTCTTCTTCAAACTACGCCTTTCAAATTCAGATTTGAAGAGTTTTGGACTGTTTTCTAAATGGACTCCGTACATGGATGAAGTGAAGACATTTTGGATGTTCCTTGCCAAATCTTTTATTGACTCTGAAGTATCCAAACTTGCACAAGAATCTGTGGCCAGCAGTAGAAATGTGACAGGTAATTATACTGTATAAAGAAAATAATACATAGATTGACATTTTAATATGTCATTGCTTAGCAATATAGAACTATATAAGTTTGTAATGAAAATCCATGCATTTGATATAGCATCTTATTATGTTGTTGAAATGTCTTAAGACTTTACAGAATTTTAGTGTAAAGTGCATTGTCTGTGTACTTGAAGACAAACTTGGCTGATAATTTGTACTCAGCAATGTCCCACAAATGGCTATGATGTGAGTGACCTTTTTTTTATCTGGATGATAAAACTGCAGATTAGTACACCAAGAGAACCATCCTTTTGTACTAGTGCCATGGGATCCTAAAAGCCCATTGAATTGGCAGACAGGACCTTGGTTCAATTTATCATCTAAAGGAAAGCACCTTGTGACAATGTTGACTCTCCTTGCATTACATCAAGGTGTCAGCCAAGACTTTGAGCTCAGAGACCATACGTTGGGCGCTGACAGCATCTCCCTCCACGGATGCACTCTACATCTCACAGAACCAATACGGAACTACGGCGTCCTGTTCGACCCTCAACTGTCCTTTCTACCCCACATCCATGCCATGACCCGCTCTACCTTTCCCCACCTCCTCAACGTTGCTCGGCTCTGCCATTGTCTCACATCGCAGGCCCCTGAGACCCTCATACACATATTTATAACATCCAGGCTCAACTACACAAAATTCTTGCTTGTCAGCCTCCCCAACTTCTCCCTCCATAGGCTGAAGATCATCCAGAACTCTGCAGCCCATGTCCTCTCCCGCAACACCGGGCTCCACAAGCCTATCACCCCTATCCTCGCCCGACTCCACTGGCTTCCCATCACACAGAGGATACAGTTCAAGATCCTGGTCCTCACTTTCAAACCCCTCCATGGGCTTGCTCCCCCCTGACTCTGCGACCTCCTAAGCCCCTACCAACCTGCTCGCTCCCTCCACTCAGTGGCCTCCGGCCTGCTTCTCATCCCCCACCTTACCCGCACTACCATTGGGGGGCGGGCCTTCAGCCATTCTACCCCCACCCTCTGGAACTCCATCCTGCAGTTCCTCCGCCTTGTCCCCTCCCTTGCCTCCTTCAGGACCCATCACAAGACCCTCCTCTTCAACCTTCAGTCACCATCTTTCTCCACCCTCCCCGATCCCGACCCCCACCTGAGTCTGAAACACTGCTTGTCCAGCAACTTGGGTAGTCTTCCTGACGTGAAAGGCACTATACAGATTTTTGTTGTTGTTGATGTACAGCTTGAACTCACAACCTTCTGACATAAAGGCTATGTTTAGTTGACCCCTGGCACCCAAGCTGGTCCATAGCTCCCTTTCTCATTCACTCAATAGCTCCGCTCCTGCTCCCTGTAATTTGCATTATCAGAGCAATCTAGTCCAAGAGGAATAAAGTGTAAGGGAATTTTTTTTTAAAAAATCTTTTTCACTCTCTCTACATTTCCTCATGCTGCACACCATCACAACAACTTTCATTTATGTAGCTCCCATCATAAAACATAATCGGGAGCATCTTCACAAGGATGGGATTGGCTGCAGAACAAGGGAAAGGGGGAAAGTGACCATAAGTGTGGTCTAATGTTTTTAAGGCAGATTTTTAGACCGATAGGAGGGGTAGAGGAAGGGAGTTACAGAGGTTCAGGATATAGCAGGGAGTAACCTACACAAATGTCTAATGTATATTCTTGCAGTCATTTGTGCACTAGTGAGCTGTACTACTGGGCATATAATTGCACACAGCATAAAAGTGCTCTGAGATGCCACCCTGTGTGAGCGGTGCTATATAAAATGCAAGTTATTGTCATTGCAAAATAATATTTTTAAATAATTTACAATTCCTGAGTTGTCTGGTTTGGGTACTTGATAACTGAGACTTTCTTCCATCTTTATTATCACAAGTAATCCCACAATAACAACAACAACAAAATTACATTTATGGAGCACCTTTCACATCGGGAGGGTGCCAAAGTGCTGAATTTCCCAAACTGTCTCTTGTTTTTATTGCAGTATTCTTTAATTTGATTTTTTCAACATCATTTAATGATCTCTGCTTTCATTACAGGATTGCAAGTAGCATATGGAAAACTGATGAGACTTTTTAGGCCATGGTTACTGGTACTAAAATTGGAAGAAGCAAGGTAACTTATTTTGGTTTTATATCCACTGCCTGTGGCAAAATATCAAACATAGTTTGATTGGCATATTTGATCATGGATACATTATAGTCAGAAAAAACATCACCTTCATTTCAATGATCCACAATTGCACTTAGCTGCTCACATACACAACCAAAATTGGATCTTTGCTCTTCATAGCCCTAATGAAAAATGGAACAGGTTTTATAAACTGGGTTTCCATTCCATCTGTCTATGCCCTTGAGAGAGAAATTGTTTTGATTCCAGCTACATATAATCACAACATTCTTACCTAATTTTCAGCATTCCTTTTGTTAATCTTATTGTCTAAAGAATAAGTTGTTCCATTCAAGTGCTTTCCCACCAAGGGAATATACAATATGTTTGAGAAACTATCACTTTAACTCTTAAGGTATAGGGAAAGAACAGGACATTGGCAATATAGTATTCTTGGTAGCTCAATTGGAGAACCTAATAACAGCATAGATTAAAAAAACTGAATGGCCTCCTTTTTTTGTGGTTATGATTCTATGATTGTCACTTTGATCTGGGTGGTTGAGACCAGGATGCTAGACCTGCTTAAAAAGCAGCTTGATGCAGTTATGGGGAGAATAGTAGGTTGGGTGTTCTGGAGGGATGAGATTGAATGGACGAAATGGTCGCCTTCACCCAGACTAATCTTGTGATTTTGCTATATTTGTTATATTTGGCCAGGAAGAAACAGCTTAATGCTGTAGTAGGAGGTTGGTAGGCTGGATATTCTAAAAACATGATATAAAATGTGCCAAATGGACTTCTTCATTTGAACCCATAAGACGTAGGAGCAGGAGTAGGCCATTCGGCCCCTCGAGCCTGCCCCGCCATTTAATAAAATCATGGCTGATCTTCTAAGCTAATTCCATTTACCCGCCCTATCCCCATATCCCTTAATCCCTCTATCCTGTAGACATCTATCAACCTCAATCTTGAATATATTCAAGGACTGAGCATCCACAGCCTTCTGGGGTAGAGAATTCCACAAATTCATTACCCTCTGAGTGAAGAAATGTTTCCTCAACTCAGTTTGAAAAGGCTGACCCTTAATCTTGAGACTATGACCCCTAGTTTTAGATTCTCCAACCAGGGGAAACAGTCTCACGGCTTCTACCCTGTCAAGACCGTTAAGAATCTTATAGGTTCTATAAGATCATTTCTAATTCCTTTATATTCTAGAGAATATAGGCCTAGTTTACTCAACCTATCCTCATAGGTCAACCCCAGGATCCAATCTAGTGAATCTACGCTGCACGCCCTCTAAGGCGAGTGTGTCCTTTCTTAAATAAGGAGACCAAAACTGCGCACAGTATTCTAGGTGCGGTCTCACCCAGGCTTTATACAACTTCAGCAAGACTTCCCTACTTTTGTACTCTTAACTCTTTTGCAACGAACACCAACATGGTATTAGCTTTCCTAGTTGTTTGCTGTACCTGCATATTAACTTTTTGTGACTGGTGTACAAGGACACCTAAATCCCTCTAAACACCAACACTACCTTGTCTCTCCCCCTCTAAAAAATGATCCGCTTTTCTATTTTTACTGTTGAGGTGAATAACTTCACACTTCTCCACGTCATACTCCATCTGCCACCTTCTTGCCCACTCACCTAGCCTATCTATTTCCCTTGCCATTCTTTGTGTGTTATCCTCACAGCTTACTCTCCCACCTATCTTTGTATCATCCGCAAATTTAGATATGTTAAGTTCTATTTCTTCATCTAAATCGTTGCTATAGACTGTAAATAATTGAGGCCCAAGCACTGATCCTTGTGGCACTCCACTGTTCACATCCTGCCAATCTGAGAAGGACCCGTTTATCCCCACTCTCTGTTTTCTTCTTGTTAGCCATTCTGCAATCCATGCTTATATATTACCTTTAATTCCATGGGCTCTAATCTTATGCAACAGCCTTTTATGTGGCACCTTGTCAATTCCTTATGGAAATCTAAATATCTAACCTGCGAGTTACATCCTCAAAAAATTCTGTAAGATTTGTTAAACATGATTTCCCTTTCATAAAGCCATGTTGACTCTGCCTAATCATGTTATGATTTTCGACGTACGCCACAACGACGTCCCTAATTAAGGACTATAGAATTTTCTCTACCACCGATGTCAGACTAACTGGTCTACAGTTCCCAATTTTTTGTTGCCCACCTTTCTTAAATATCGGTGTTAGTTTGTGACCTTCCAATCACTGGGAACCATTCCAGAATCCAGGGAATTTTAGAAGATCAAAAACAAAGCATCCACTATCTCTGCAGCCACCTCATCTTCAAGGCTGAGACTGATAGATTTTTAAAAACCAGAGGGATTAGGGGATATGGGGATAGGGCAGGTAATTAGAGTTAGGTCTGAAGATCAGCCATGATCTTATCGAAAGGCAGGACAGGCTCAAGGGGCCGAATGGCCTACTCCTGCTCCTAATTCTTATGTTCTTATATTCCATTTTCTCCCTCTTAATCAGTTTCTTGGTTTTCCTTCTCTGATCTCTAAAGCCCTCCAAAACCTCAGGTTTACTGCTCTTTTGGCAGTATTATAGGCCTCTTTTAATTTTTAACTTTCCCTAGCTTCTATAGTCAGCCAAGGTTGAACCACTTTTCCGATGGTATTTTTATTTTTCAAGTTAATATGTGATCACTGGGAATTATATCTTTAAACGTTTGCCATTGCTGGTCTACCGTCATATTTTTTAATCTAATTTCCCAGTCTATTCTAGCCAAATCTTCTCTCATATCTGCAGAGTTGGTTTTATTTAGATTTAAGACTCTTGCTTTGGATTCAACTATATCACTCTCTAACTTAATGTTAAATTCCATCATGTTATTGTCACTCTGCCCTAGAGGAGCCTTGACTTCCAGATTGCTGATTAGCAACTCTCCCTCCCCCTCACCTTAATAGTTTAAAGCTCTGTCTATCTCCCTATTTAATCGTTTTGCCAGGATATTGGTCCCAGCCCGGTTAAGGTGGAGCCCATCTTGATGGAACAGCTCCCTTTTCCCCCCGATACCAGTGCCATTGACCCATAAAACGAAACCCCTGCCTCCCGCACCACTCTTTCAGTCACGCGTTTAACTCTTTAATTTGTTTATCCCTGTACCAATTTGCGCGTGGCTCAGGTAGTAATCCGGAGATTATCACCTTGGAAGTTCTTCCTTTTAATTTAATTCCTAGTTTATTGAACTCACTCATCAGGTCGTCGCTATTAGTCCTACCTAGATTGTTGGTTCCTATGTGGATCACCACAATTGGATCATCTCCTTCCTGCTTCAAATTCTTCTCCAGCCCTTCGTGACTCCTGATTGTGGCTGCAGAGAAGAGTGTCTCTCCACCCGACTGTCTCGTCCCCTATTACAACCACATTCCGTTTTGCTCTCCCAACTTGTGTGGCCTCCTGTATAGAGGTCCTGGGGTCAGTTTGCCCATTCTCCTCCTTACAGACTTCCTTGTCCACACAGGTTGCAAGTACCTCATACCTGTTAGAAGCCTGAGGCTTCTCCACCACTCTCTCTGGGGTCCCCTTACCTGCCTGACTGTCAAGTCACACTGTCCTGTCCCTGACTAGTAGCAGGATCTACACACTTACTGAGCCTCAGGGGAGTGTTTGTCTCCGGGATGAAACTATCCAGGAAGCTCTCACCTTCTCTAGTGCGCAATGTCTGCACCTCGGATTCCAGCTCAGCTACTCTAAGCTGGAGCTTTCTCAGTTGCAGACATTTGCTGCAGATGTTGTCGCCCGGGCTCAGGCTGCCCTCCATCAACTCCCACATACTGCAGTCATCGCACAACATCTGTCATGCCAATCTCTCCTCTCTCTTTCACTCCGGATTATGATTTTTATTTAGTTTTTTTTCTGGTTCTGTCTTTTGAGTGTGACGTCACGTTGCTGTCACTTGTCGTTTTTCTGCAGATGTTCCACTCCACCCTCCGAATCAGCGACTGCTTATCTCGGCTCGGCTTTATACAGGCCTCGGCTCCTCCCCGCGCTGTCCTGGCTTCGCCCTCCGAATCAACGATAGCAACTGCTTATGAACCCCACATGAACCTGATCACCCGAAAGCCTTTTTTTTAACATATATACCCAACTAACAATGCTATAATGGGGTTGCCCTGTTATTAGGCAAATGTCCTGCTTTCCAATGTCCTTGCTATTCACAATTGAACATTTGCTTTGAAATTTATGATCAGCTTTTTCATGGTGCATTACTGCCCCCTAATGTGCATTTTAAAGTAACTCAGTCAACTCAGTCTTTTGAGTGAAACAATTTTAAAACCTACTTTTCTTCTAAACCATAATTTTCATTTGCCAAGTTTTAATATTTGAATGCATGTCAGTCATGCCATTGCTACTTCACTGGCTATTTTGCCGATTCAACATTTTCACATTTATGAATGATGTCATAACTTTCTGGAACTGTCATCATTTTCTCTCAGTTTTTACCCCTTTCCTTCTCTTGTCTTCTCAAATTGGTTACTTTTTCTGGTTTCAGTTCTACAGTTGGGCATTCTCCATTGTGGGGCAACACACCTTAGCTCAATCCTGTCCTCATCCGCACCTGCACACTTTCCTGTAGTGTTCACGGAACAATAATCGGATGCAGGAAACATGAATGATTTATTTTACCCCTCCCCCCACACACATACATACACACACAAACTCAGGTACACTGAGGCCAACTGCAGGTTGCAGAACTTATATAAAAGCCAAGATGGATTGCTAATAGGTACATATCTTGCTAATAATCCTTGCAGTTGAATAATTCTAATGATACAGTGACTTTCACGTCAGGAGGATATATTTCACTGGATTTACAGTAAAATTTAGTGACCTGAGTATTTTGGAGGCACATGTACGTATTCTATTATTGTATTTTGATCAACAGTACTAATCGTTGCTACCCCTGGCTAGAGATAGACACTCCAACAGCCTCTTGCATGGTGAAGTTATTTTCAGAATGTGTTGATTATCTACATCAAAGTTTTAAAGGTAAGATAGAATTTGATTAGATGCTTTATACATATTGTGTAATGTGATGCTTAAATCTACACTTGGTATTTCATTTAGATTTTATAGAATTTACAAATGTAAATTTGTATTAAATTGTAATTATGGCCTAATGGGTCAGGGACAGTGTTTTTGGTTGTTTTTGCAAGGTTCCTTCCTGACGTGTGACGTTTACTTGCACAATAGTGTAGGCATATTGAAATTGACCTGTTTTCTTAAAATCCTTTCACGTTACCATAGTTTAATTGATTTCCGAGAATCAATGGATAAAACTCAATGAATTTTTACCATGTACATTAGAAACACACAACTATTGTAAATCCCAGGGGCCACGGAAAAAGGATAGTCTCCTTCTTGTTCCAGTACGTTAACACTGATAAATAACAAAAACAAAATGACATTTGTGTAGTGGCCTTCATGTCGGATGGACATCCCAAGGCGCTGGACATTCATTGTTTTGGACCCGAGCTGAGGGTCGAGATCGGGGAGAATGAACGGCAGGGCAGAAGGAGGGTGTCCGAAGGCACAGTCGAAGAGGAGGATCTTGAAAAGGGTCTTGAAGGAGGCAAGAGAGGAGGCGAGGCAGAAGGTTTGCAGGATGAAGTTCCAGAGGGTGGGGCAGAGTGGCGGAAGGCCCGCCCGCCAATGGTAGAGCGGGTGAGGTGGTGGGTCATAAAGCAGGCCGGAGCCCGCTGAGCGGAGAGAGCAGGCAGGTTGGTAGGGGGTTAGGAGGTCACAGAGGTAGAGGGGAGCAAGACCATGTAGGACTTTGAAGATGAGGATCAGGATCTTGAACTGTATCCTCTATGTGATGGGAAGCCAGTGGAGTCGGGTGAGGATGGGGGTGATAGGGTCATGGAGCCCGGTGCGGGAAAGGACGGAGGCTGCAGAGTTCTGGGTGATCTGCAGCCTATGGAGAGAGTAGTTAGGGAGGCCGACAAGCAGTGAGTTTGCGTAGTCAAGCCTGGATGTTATGAATGCATGTATGAGGGACTCGGCAGTCTGTTGTGTGAGAGTGGTGGAGCTGGACAGTGTTGGGGGAAGGCAGTGCAGGTCATGTCATGGATGTGGGGTAGAAAGGATAGTTGAGGGTCAAACAAGACGTCAAGGTGCCAGACTGGGTTAGCAAAGTGGAGTGTGCAACCATGGATGATGATGTTATCAGAGCCTGAGGTGAGGAGGCGCTGACGGGAGCCAATCAGGAGGGCCTTCGTCTTGTTGACATTCAACTGTAGAAAGTTAGCTCTCTTCCAGGACTTGATGTCTGACAGACAGTGATAAAGTATAAGCAAAAGAGATTTACTAAAATAAACATGCTCACACCCAAGAGGAAATTGGGGTAAAATGTATTCTTAATCTCTCTCCCCCCCCACCCCCTCCCCAGCTCATTCACTACTGATCATTAATAACATAGTAGTCCTGACAATCCTTTTCCTTCAATCCAGGGCAGTTGGTTGCATTCTTGTATTTTGTTTTTTAGGTAAACTAATCCCTGGCCAGTGTGGTGCTCTGTGGTTCCATTTGATGCATTACTGTGAAACTTGCACTGCGCCCAAAATGCCAGAGTACATTCTGTATGCCTATCACTCTGAATACTCCAAACTGCCATGGAGAGAGCTACACCCTGATCAAGCCTTAATGGAAGAGTTCTTTAAAGTAAGACACAAAATTATTACAGAATTATTCTTTATGGTATCTTAAGTATTTGAGCAGTTGACTTGACGCAGTTAATATGTTAATAAAACGTTATTTGTATCAGTACGATGTCCCAGATGACCTGCCAAAAATATATACAGTCAATGAGACAATGTTATTTGAACGTGACGTCAAAATAACTGATTCTACACAAGCATAGGATGTAGCTGTGCTCCCGAGAATAACAGTTAATATGTAACGATCGTATCTTTCAGGTGGAGAGAGGAAGCCCAAAGAGTTGTTTCTTATTTCTGGGCACTTTACTTTGTGAAGTGAATTGGGTTAGTGTGCTGTCTGATGCCTGGAATTCACAAGCCCTCTTGAAAACGCAGACAATGGTTGTGTATTTATTGTTCATGATAATTTTCTTGTCGAAAGAGGATGAACTTATCAATAAACCAGTAAGTTTTTGTATGCTATTTTCTTAACCTATTTAAGTGACTTATATGTGCTTTATCACCAGGGCCAGTAGAAAATTGCAGAATTATTTGCCAAAATTTTCGGGGGAATTTGACAAATTCCGCAGAAAATTGTAGGGAGTTGATTTGTGCCGTTGAGAGTAACGTTTTACTGCTAACCTATATTTTCTTCATTTTATTGATAAATACTAAACATGAAGTAATAACACATATTAGAATATTCAAAAAAAATTGTGCTTTCTTTAACAAAAAACGCATGGCCCATTCTGGGGCGCGGGGGAGAGGAACACCAGAGCAACTGTGGGGCTCCAGGAATTCACCACCTCCTACCCCTCGGGGCAGTCACCACACGCACACACATTCACAGACACATGCTCACAGACACACACTCACAGAGAAAGAGACACAGCGAGACACACACAGACACTCACAGACACAGAGAGAGACACACTCGGAGATATTCACAGACACAGAGACACACACTCACAGACACAGAGAGTCACAGACACAGAGAGACACTCATAAACACACAGACCATCTGAACAGTGGATCCTTGGGATGAGCAAAGCCCATTTCCCACTCACAGCGAATCACGCCTGCGTGTCCATAACCGCCCCCCCATAGTATTGCCCTCGAGTAAACTCCTGGCAGCAGCGCACAGAGATCCGGGGCCCTCAGCACACTGTTTTATACAGAATTGTAGCGGAGGACATATTTGTAGCTGGGTGGGTGTAACCTGAGGGGGGGTTTGTAGCGGAGTGGGTGTGTGCGTTAGCAGAGTGGGGTGTTTGTAGAGGAGTGGGTGGGTGTAGCCGAGGGGGGTATTTGTAGTGGAGTGTGTGTGTTGGCAGAGTGGGGTGTTTGTAGAGGAGTGGGTGAGTGTAGCCGAGGGGGATGTTTGTAGTGGAGTGTGGTGTTTGTAGCTGAGGAGGTGTGTGTGTGGAAAAGGGGAGTATTTGTAGCGGATTCTGCGGAAAAATTGCGTCTGCACTTTTCTATTGGCCCAGCTTCTTACTGACTTAACAACATAGACATTTTAGCAGAGAAAACCATTCAGTCCTTCATGCCTGTGCTTATCCACAATTTTGCCCAATAACTCAATGATCACCAATTGTAGTGTTCACAACTGCTTATTGAAATCACTGCAAGGCTATTTTTCAAACCTTAAATGCACATGAAAAAGTCTTTTATATACTAATAAATCCAGAAAATATTTCTTTGAGAACACAGAATTAAAATATGTGACTGATTTTGATCTTTAAGAAATGTTGCATCTTTAAGAATGTGCGCTAAAATATGTAGAAGATATTTCATGTCCAGAATTAAGATATGATAACTATCTCCACAAAAAGACCATTCGAAATTGACATGAACAGCACAGTCATGAATGAATGATGATCAACCTCATAAGCTGCTTTACTGCCGATAGGGAAGAAAAAACTGCAAATCAATTCAGTAAAGATTTAATAATCTGGTTGCATCTCACCCGTACCTCATAGCAGAGGCATTATCAAACTCCTGGAAAAAGCACCTGTCTTTTTAGCTCGGGATCAGTTTATTTTGAGAGACATAAGGAAAGGGTGAGAGATAAAATGCCTTGGGAAGTTCTATGTTCTTTTGTACATTTCTCAAATTGTGTTTTAGTATCAACTTTAGGAATTGAGCGAAAATAAATTAGGTGGATTGTTAGACATGTTTATCTTTTTTAAAGCTGTAGAAGTCATTTATCCTTTAACCTAAACGGATAAAATTAATACAATGTTTTGAATTGCTTTGGCTTTTTTTGGCCCATGTGCAAAAATGAAATAAGTGTAGAAAATGATTTGTGCTTCTGTACTTTTCTTTTAAATATGTCTGTGTTGTAATGCATCAGTTTAGAAAAGTAATGGGAAGTCTTTTTTACAATAGAAAATCTTCAGATGTTTGGGTGTGGTATCACCAGTGGACATTTGATATAGCGCCTTATTATGTTGTTGAAAATGCTTCACAGAATATACTGTAAAATAAATTGATTGTATGTTTTGCGGGCGAAATAGTTTAGAATAATTTACTATTTCAATTTCCAGATTCATTGGAAAAAAATCTAAATAATCATGCTTAATTAATTATAATCATATTAATAAAGAATAGATTTCACTAACAACACTGCAACTGCTCTTCTCTGCAGGAGTCTCCACTACACAACCTTCTTGGACAAGCAAGTTCATTGCCCTGGCATTTTGTGGACATTATATCCTACCAAAATGTCATGAGCTACTTCAGTAGCCACTACTCACCATCTGTTGTTGTAGCAAAAGATCCATCGGCTAAACTAACACTTAAGCTTTTAAAAGTTGTTGCAGGTTTTAATGCTACCTTGGACAGTGTAGCACACAGTGTAAGTAGATAATTGCAAAAAAAAGTAATTGTTGCATGTTATTAGCAGATACATAACTCCAGGATAAGATGTGTATGACATGCTGAAGTTGCTTGATTATTTAACTAAATTATTGTCTTCAAGAGCAAGATACACCACTGCACTCTTCCTTGGAATGTTAACTACAAATTACTTATTCCTGGTTGAATATATCTCCATACTTATATTTCAAATCAATCCAGGAGCAAATTAAGTTAGAAATACTCTTGCTGTCCTTAAACATTGAAACAACTGAAAGTAGACAAATATTTTCTGACATGCAAACTTGACAAACTAAAGAAACCCAGGTTAACTGGTGGTTCCCACTCGCTTTGCTCTGTAATCCACAGTAGTATAGTTGTAGGAAATTTCTGAATCTACATTTGGCAGCATGACATGACCCTAGATTCCAGAACTGAAACTCAATGAAGCTGAGACAGATTAGATCACTTCAGTCACGAGATCACTAGGTTTAGAAAGAATGAAACAGGGGAGAGAAATCCAAACTAATTCAAGTGGGAATGGTAAATAGAAAATGCATGTTCTGACTAGTCTCCCATTTATCTGCTTTCAAAGTTTTTCCATAATTAAAATTGCTCCGTTTACACCCAATACAACAATAACAACTTGCACTTATATAGCGCCCTCCATGTAGGGTAGCGTCTCATGGCGCTTAACAGTGGCAGAGCCTGACTCCGAGCCAGGAGTGGGTGGGATTGGGTGGTGGCTGTAAGCACAGTCGGAGAGGAAGGTTTTCAGGCAAGACTTGAAAAAGGGGAGAGAGGGTGCAAGGTGGAGGGATTGAGGGAGAGTGTTCCAGAGTTTTGGGGTGCAGTGGGTGAGGGACGTGCAGGAGGCCGGTGCCAGTCGAGTGGAGGAGCCAGGTGGTGGATTGGGGAGTGAGGAGGTAGGGAGATGCCAGAGAGTGAAGGATTTGAACACGAGTGTGAGAATCTTGAAGTCAATCCGTTTGTATCACTCAACACATTGAGTAAAGTGATGTTTTATTATTTTAGTTATGTTCTGCAAATGTCATTGCTTTTTGTTAATGTTTAATATGTGGTTACTTTAGGATGCTACACTTAAATGCAGGGCATATATCCACCAAATTGTCCAGTGTCTGATTACCTTGGATCAGAATGCTCAGGTAGTCAATGCTACTCTTGAACAAGAGATGACAAATTTACTGGATGACATTGTGGTATTTAACCCACCAGGTTAGTACAATCTGAAAACTAATACAGGTTTACAATTTTGTTTTCCTAAAATATCAGTTATCTGATAACTAACTTTCAAGACAGTTACTAGGAAGTTTTTCTTTACACAAATGGTAATTAATGACAAACAGGTTGCCAGGGAGGGTGGTTGAGGCCAGGATATGTGACTCATTTCAAAAACAGCTTGATGCTGTTACAGTAGGACAGAAGGTTGGGTATTCTAGAAGAATAAGATCAGTTGAGATCAAACTAATCTTGTGAAATTCCACCTGAAGACCTGTTTCCTTGACTAGGCTTTTGTGATTCTTCATTATCAGTCGTAGCTGTGGGAATAAACCTTTTATATAATGCTCAATATGTCACTATGTAATGCAGTGAATTGTTTTACAATGTATTTGCAAATATTACTCTTAAATAGATTTGAAGGTAATTAATAACTATCCCATTGTATAGTTAGTTAAATCCACTGAAATTTTAAGTTTTTTTTCCATTTCTCTTTCTCAGGTGTGGACTGTCAGATGCATCACATGGCGGTATCCAGTCTTTTTATGGAAGTACTAACAATGCTAAACAACACCAGTGTTACATCAGCAGAATCGCTGCGAATGTCCCTCCGGACTTGGACTGAAACTAGGGCTAAATTTAATTTGGTGCCACCATTGCTAACTGCAACTTGTCAAAGACTTGCATCCGTCAAGCACATGGCAGAGATGACTGAAGCCTGCATCATGGCTTATTTCAAGGATGGTAAGCGATATCTGTATGTTTGAGGAATTATTGTTCTGCATACACTATAACACTATAAACACTTTCTACTTAAGTAGAGGTAAGAGTGTTTTTTTATGTCAGATGTGCAAAACCTTTATATGCAAATTTCAAACTCACAGTATATCAATGCCAGTGACATTCTTCTCATAAGTGAAAGCGCAAAGAGTCAAGAAACATTCTCCAAGAAATTTCTCACAGAACTCATTAAGTGCAATATCCTCACAAATGAACAAATGCTAAGACTGGCCTACCCATTAGCGCTTTAGCTTGCAGGATTAACAGAAGATTCTTTGCACCCAATGACTCTCCCAAGTCCTAACAATGAGCCAAGCTCTAAGTTCTGCGGACCTGCCTGGTTTAGAAACCTGACTATCAAGGATTGACTCGATTCTGACATTTCATTGCCATGAATGGCACCTTGGAGCCAATTCAGTTTACCTCCCAAATAGGAATGTGGGAAGTATGTGATGGAGCATTGCCATCTTCCTTGCCCACAATTCAGACATACATACAGCCTTACCCATTGAACAGTGGTTCCACAAGAGGGAGATGTGGGACTTGAACAGCAGCTGCTTACCTCTCTCATACTAATCAAGGTGGGTTCCGAGCCCTGGATATATGAACATGTAGGGCCGGACAAATTTGCAGGGTTATGGGAAGAGAGCGGGGAGTGGAACTAAATTGGACAGCTCTTTCAAACAGCTGGCACGATGGGCCAAATGGCATCCTTCTGTGCTGTATAATTCTATGGTTCTATGTATATTTGTACAAATGATGATCCGTAACAAACAATTGTTGCTGATTTGTTTGTACTTCATTTATGATGGTTTTAGTAATCCAGTTCTTGTTGTTGTATAGGAGCCTGTCATGATCAATATTTTGGATGGGGACCTATTTTAGTGTCCCTTTTAGTACCCGAACTGACTGCAGAGGAATTTCTGAAAGAGTGCTTGGACCTGGGAAGTTATTTGACCCTCTACGTGTACATCCTTCAACATTTGAATATGGAGCAGACCCTGTCCAATGAAATGAAGATGTTGGTTCTAATTAACAAATGGGTAGAAGAAGTCTTTCCGAGGTAATATAAATTAAGAGGAGCTTGGGAGAATGTTTGCAAATTTTAAGTGTAGATGCTGTTCTCCAAATGTTCCTGTCTCAATCAGTTAATTAAATTCAACAATGCAACACACATTTTAGTGTATAATATCTATTAAAATAATATAAACTTTAAAATAAAATATTTAAAAGCTTCAGCTTTTTTCTTTTCGCTTAACTTATTCTTTGTCGTTTTTATTAACTTTTTTTTCATTTTCTGCCTGTGTACTAAGTAGAAAAGAGTTTCTGACATTCTTAACATAAAAACCTCTCACTTTTGTTTTCTTCTTATTACACACATGGGAATACCATTTTTTTAAAATTCACTTTGAATTAATTGGTTGAAAATACTGCCCTGCTAAGAACCAAAGAAATGCTGAAAAGTTGAAGATTAATTAAACATGATAGCATTCTATGCATTTACAAATAATCCTTGCATTTGATGTAGTGCCTCTCACATCAAGAGGACGTCTCAAAGTAAAATGTAGTTTGGACTGGTCAATCAAGTGCAGTTGAATTGGTCTATCTTTTATAATAATCATAATAATAATAATACTTGCATTTGATATAGTGCTTTTCAAGCCTTCTAGACGACTCAAAGCGTTTCACAAATATGCTGCAAAGTGAATTGACCGTATATTTGTGGGCGAACGCGGCAGCCAATTGCGCACAGCAGTGTCCCACAAACAGTCGTAGATTGAAAATGACCAATTTATTATTGTTTTGTTTTGGAGGGATTATTATTAGGCTCTGTGTGGAGTAAGGAAACTTGCCCAAGGTTTCGCCCTGACTGGAATTGAAAACCCAGGTGTCTCGCTTGCAAGGCAAGTGCTCTAACCCCTGAGCTACAGGACTCCACATTTTTACTTGAATGTCAGAACAATCCACAAGTAAATTTGCCCAAATCCAAAAAGAACATCAGAATTAATAGACTGGTCTTCATCACCTTTAAGGGTTAAATAATTGTATTGTTTTAAAGAAGAGAGCACACTGTCTGTGACAGTCAGGTTTGCTTCAATCTACTGAACTGTCAACTCCAGAGAAACAGATTCCCTTTTTCAAGGGCCAGAAGGGACCCCATTTCTGGGATCTAAAATTATCACATTTTAGGATTAAAACCTATTGCCTTCAAATTGAATATTGTGCAAAAATGTTTTTAAAATAATCTTAAAAATTTTACTTTAGATAAATTTTAGAAAGCCAATTTCTAAATACCCAAAGGAAGTGCAATCAATATGATTCTGAATTAAGATTTAATTCTGTTTCCAAAATTCACATGACCTTTATAATTACAGGTTACCAGCCTGGCTTAGTTGGTAGCATTCTTACCTTTGAGTCAAAAGGTTATGGGTTGAAACCTTGTGTCGAGGTCTTTTGAGTTCAATCTTGGCTGACACTCCAATGCAGCATTTGAGAGCACTGCATTGTTTTAGATGTGCTGCCCTTCAAATGAAAAATTAAGTGTTAAGTCCTGTCAGCCTGTTCAGATGGATGTTAAGGAATTCATAACACTATTTGAAAAAAGAAGGGACTTTCTCCTGGTGTCTGGCCAACAATCTCCCAAAATTGGACATCCATTTCCTGTGGACATTGCTGTTTGCAGATTGGCTGTTGTGTTTACTTAACAAATACACAGTTGCTACACTTAACAGTAATTACTGTGAATCGCTTTGATACGTTTCAGTGTATTTATATTAAATACGAAGATTATTATCATTAATTAACATATGCGTTTTCAAACCAGAATATATTGCTATTAAGCTGGCAAACAAATCACATCTTTTTCATTTCTGCTGAACATTAATGTTGCTTCTAATTTATTTGCAACAGTTGCACAAGCGATGAAGCTAAATTGTTCCTGTGGTGGCACAAAGTACTGCAATTAACATTGACCCAGCTTGAGCAGAGTGATGTCGTGGTATTGGAATTTTTGACGAGCATACTAAATACGCTGCAAATGAGACAAAGCCTCCTGGCCGAGGAAAGGCAGTCTTCTGGAATTCTGGGAGCAATTGGTCTTGGAAAGAAGTCTCCGTTCTCAAATAGGTGGGATATTTTGTCTGAATTCAAGAATAATTGAATGTTTTGCGGTGTGAATTTGATGTCCTTGCATCAGCAACCATTTTATATATTTAAGAAACCTCATCAAACATCTTTGAAATGGAATACACTCCTGCATAGAAGCAGACTTCTTTGTTCATGTCCAAAAAAATTACTATTATACATTTAAAGTATTTAAGTCATGTAGACCAAGAAACATTTCTTGTGATTCCTTAACTTTGTGATAATCAAGATGCAGATAATGCAATGAATTCAGGAACTTTTAAAAAGTATAACTTTCTACTTGTATTTTTATGTTCCTTGGATAAATGCACCACCTTCATTTTAACAAAGTCCTTTAGAAACAGACTTCACCTGAAATGAGTTATAATGAAATGTGCCCTAATTATTGGATGAAATGGCATGTGCAGAAAAGGAAAGTGGAGGATTAATAATCTCAATAGGATTAATGTTTTATCTGTGTCCTAAAACCTGTAACCAATCTAATTAGATCAATCCAATTTAACACAATTATTGCTAAAGTGTGAAATGTTCTCTAACAATCCCATTTCTAATGCTCAGCAAACTGAATAGAGAAAAGCCCCTAACAATATTTCCTCCCCAAATATTGGTATAATTTAGCAACCATTTGCTTCTGTTCTGACGAAGGGTCATGGACCCGAAACGTTGATTCACTTTCCTTTCCCCACAGATGCTGTCTGACCTGCTGAGTGTTCCCAGCGACTTCTGTTTTTGTTTCAGATTTCCATCATTTGCAGTATTTTGCATTTTGTTTTTGCTTATGCATATAATCTGTTTTTGTTGAATGTTTGTATTGGTTTCCTCAGTGAGTGTTTACAATTTGGTTGATTCTTATCCAAACTCATAGAATTGATATTCTATCTATGAAATATTTCAGAAAGTTACTCTTCATTTATCTCTCTTTTTGTCGACCTGGCTTAGTTGGTAGCACTCTCACCATTGAGTGAGAAGGTTATGTGTTCAACAACGACTTGCATTTATATAGTGTTTCTCACACAGAGTAGTGTCTCAGAGTGCTTCACATTAGGACTTTGAACTCTTATTGTAAAATATCCTTTGTATTCAGCCCCTGACTTATTTACAAAGGTTATTGTACAGGTTTCTAATTGCGCTGCATTATGTTCACAGGTTTCGGGTGGTGGCACGGAGCATGTCAGCATTCCTCCTGGTTCAAATTCCTGCAGAGAACTGCGTTCGACTGAAGCCTAGCACAGATTTACAGCCATCTCCCAAAGCACAACAGGTATCACAGAATTGCTCTTGTGTTAATATGAAAACAGACATTTACAATTAGATACTGAGGCATGGATACTTAAGGTTAATCAACCATTTCAGTATCTCAACTCATATAAGAAAATTTCTAGCTGTTCCTTAAGAAGTCAGATCCCCAGGAGAGTTTCTGTTGATCTGCAATTCGTTCTAATATTAGATCATTCATACAATATATAAAACATGCTCTAATATGTCAGTCCCTTCTCTAGCAAAGGTAACTTTTTTTTCCCTCAAAAAGTATCTGTCATAAGATTATAAAATTATTGGTGAATATATTCAAGTGCATGTTCGATGTCTCCATTTGTCTCCAGGGTCCCTTCTTTCAACCCGTTGCTTCCCTCCCACCATCCCACCCCAAAACATAACTTACAAGTGGACACTATATTTCCTGAGTAGTCTATCAGCATCCCCTAAAAATACTACAGCATCGGTATTGTACAATTTGTTACTGTATTGTCAGCCTAGCCTAGTCGGCAGCATTGGTGTCTCCTGGCCAGAAAGTTGCGAGTTCAGCCACACATCAGAACTCACAGTCTATGCTGTCGCTTGAGCGTACTATTGGGGGAGCACTGTATTGTTGGAGAGATGTCATCCCTAGGCTGAGACTTTTAACCAAGGCTTCATTTGTCTGTTCACATGGCTGTTAAAACTTTGAGATGTTTCAGTGTTATACATGCTATAGCAAATGCCACAATGAATATTTTATTTTAACTTCACATTGCTACCAGTAGTGGTAGGAATGATGAGAACTCTCAGAAGTTTTCCAGATTTGTAAGAATCGAGGATTAAATTCCTGCAATAAATAATAATTTGCCCTGTCAGAAAATTTGTTTTAAGCACATATACAAAGGTACAAAACTATATATAATTTATTACTTTCAGTTCTCATCCAAATACATACATTCTGTAAGCACATGCTTTTCTACTGTTCTATGGACAGTTAACTTATTTTATTCTATGATAGGGTGAATTTTCTAGTCTTCTGGAAGAATAATGTAACAACAAGAACTTGCATTTATATAGCGCCCTTCACGCTGGATAGCATCCCTGAGCGCTTGACAGTGGCGAAGTCTGACCCCGAGCCAGGGGGAGGAGGGGGGGAGTGACTGTAAGCACCATCAAAAAGGAAAGTCTTTAGGCAGGATTTGAAAGTGGGGATGGAGGGGGCAAGGCGGAGGGATTGGGGGAGAAAGTTCCAGAGCCTCGGAGTATAGTGACTGAAAGCACGGCCGCTGATGGTGGGGCAAAGGGCAAGGTACAAGCAGGAGGCCGGACCCGGCTGAACGGAAGCAGCAGGTGGTGGAGTGGGGTGTGAGCAAGTCAGAAATGTAAGGAGGTGCAAGGACATGAAGGATTTGAAAACGAGAGAGAGGATCTTGAAGTTGATCCATTCAGAAATTTGCAGCCTGTCAAGGACTGGTGTAATGGGGGTCCAGAGTTTTGTGTACGTTAGTATCTGGGCTGCGGAGTTGTGAATTTAATTATATTTTATGTATGGTGGGACTGGGGGGCTCGGGGAGAGGAGGGCATTTGAAAAGACCAGCCAGGAAGTGACAAATGCGTGAACGAGGGTTTCAGCTGCTGTGGGTGTGAAGTACGGACGATGGCGGGCAATATAAATCTCCAATGACAGCATTCACCACAGACATCCAAATGTTACAAATATGAAACTTACATTTGGATAGCGCTTCACACTCAGGCTAGTGTCCCAGAGTGTGTGACAGTGGTACAGCACGACAACAAACCGGGGGGAGAGGGAGGTGATCGTAGACGTGGTTGAAGAGGAAGGTATTCAAGCACGACCTGAAGGTGGGGAAGGAAAGGGCAAAACAACTGGATTGAGGGAGAGTGAATCCTGAGTCATATGTATAAATTCTATTCCTCTGAGTGGTTTACTAGATTTCAGAGTCAATGATTCTACCATTGAGATCTGTTTTTAGGATTGTATTATACTCTTATGACACTAATTGTTTGTAACTAATGTTAAAGTTATCAATGTCGATATAATTTAACTTTAAAAATATCAACCAAGTATTCAATATAATTTTATAGTATTCTGTGCTTAACAAAATGCAATATGAAGCATCTTCAATATTTTTATTTTATTTTAGGCATTAACATACTTGAATCAATGTCATCAAGCAAACAGTATGCCAGCTATCAAGAAGAGATTTTACAAGCTACAGTTTTCATCAAAGACACAAGCTACTGCCTTTGTGACACCAACAGATTATTAGCTGTTCTTATCAACCGTCTTTACCCTGAGGCACATTATCTAGACATCATCCGATAGAATTTGCTTTGAACAAACATATTTCAATCGAAAAACTATAATATTTTCACTAATACAAGAAGACCTGTTACACATCTCCCAATTAAAGTATTTTAATAGGTTAACATCATTAAAACCTTTGCTAAATGTACCTCTGTACATTTGAACCAGTCATCAGACCATTCAGGAGACCTGTAGCACAGTGGTTAGAGCACTCGCTTTGCAAGCGAGAGACCTGAGTTCAATTCCAGGCAGAGGGCGAAACCTTGGGCAAGTTTCTTTACTCCACACAGAGCCTAATAATAATCCCTCCAAAACCCAAAACAATAATAAATTGGTCATTTTCAATCTACGACTGTTTGTGGGACATTGCTGTGTGCAATTGGCTGCCGTGTTTGCCCATAAATATACAGTCAATTCACATTACAGTGTGTTCTGTGAAGCGCTTTGGGACGTCCTCCCGACGTGAAAAGCGCTATATCAAATGCAAGGATTATTATTATAATTATCCCATTTAGTGCTGGTAGTAGTTTAGTAGTAGAAACCACTGTTTCAGGTTGAAAGCTATTTCTAAACTACTCTAGAAAAAAAGAACTGGTGGAAAAGGTCATTGTTTTTTGACTTAAAAGCTTGCTATTGGCAAACAATTCTGTAATTTTGTACAATAATGTATAACATGTAAATGTCAATATCAGTTCAAAAATGTGTAATAAAATAATTTGTTGATTAAACAGGGCAATCTAATTCATGGGGCTGCATGAAATGTAAGAAAAATCATCAATTACAACCACTATATTCAGTTTATTTGATTTTTCAAATTATTTACCAAGCACGTTTTACAAAACAGCAACGATTATTTTTTAAAAAAACACAGCAATTCAACAAACGAACTGTACAAAAAATATCCTAGCTGTTAGCTCCTATTAATTTTACTTTAGCTTGTGACCTTTTTTCCAGTAGCACCCATTGTTGATTCCTTCTCAAGGGCTTTAGCTCTAACGTTATGAGGCACTCAAGCCATCGCTATACCATTTTTGCCAGGGTACAGGACATAGGAACGGGCACAGGTCATCCTCTACAATTAAGTCTATGACAACTTTTATTTATTTCCATTTCCCTGCCTTTTTCCTGTATTTTATTTTGCAAGTGGGAATGGGTCTAATTGGTAGCTCTTTCAAAGAGCCAACACAGGCACGAAGGGCCGATTGGCCTCCTTCTGTGCTGTATGATTCTATGATATGATTCTATGTTCATTATTTACAAACTGTCCTCATCTTTCTTTTGAAAAGCTCAGTTGATTATGTAACCAAAGGCTTCCTGAGGTAGTCCATTCCACATAGAGATTTTTGTTTCTATTTGCCTTAACTAATTGTATTCGGTGCCCTTACCTCAGTTAAAGTTGAAGAGAATGCCATAGTTAAACTCTTAGTTATTTGTGGATCAGTACTTAATGATAAAAGTTTTTTCATTCCTTAATCTAGGGCTCCATTCCAAGTAGTTGATATGGAGTGGACATAATAGGATGACATCCTTTTCAGCAAACAATGTTGAAGGCCAAAAAAGAACTGTTATAAGTACCATCCCTTTAAATGTACCAACATTTTTAAAAAATGTTTACTAGTATCATATACATTGGAATGTGCATGATAAAATAGACTCAGTCGGTGTTCTACTGAACAAAACAAATGTTGATACCAAACCATAAATAGAAGCATTGTGTTTCAGCATTAAAAGTTCATAGCAGTGGCATCTACAGTTGTACAGTTTTGGTAAATGAGAAACTTGTCATGGTGAATGATGTTTACCAACACGTAAGCAAGACTTCAAAACGCATCCTTTAGGTACTCAACAAGTAAGAAAGTCTGAGCAACTCTTAAGCTCTAATGTTCTTCTTCAGACATCTCAGCGACACTTATTAAAACAGGATTTGGATGTAGTTCCATCCCCAGCTAAGATTGACGTCAAAGTCATAAAACAATAGAAAGTTACAACACAGAAGAAACCCCTTCGGCCCATTGTGCATTTACCAACTCTTTGAAAGAGTAATCTATTCAATCCCATTTACCCCTGCAAATTTCTCTTTTTTAGATATATATCATTCCCTCTTTAAAGTTAATGTGGATTCAGCAATATCAAGAAAATATTTCTGTGGTTTTAAGTCATGACATGTTTTTGAAATGTGTTCGATTTCTAATTGGTGTTAGTTAAATGGTAACGGTATTCCCCATGTATTTATAATCCGAGACACAGAAGAATCTTGGGAGCCACTGATGGTGATGCGCTTTCTGTGTGCTTGATAGCTGCGCACAAAGATGGAAGGGATTCATTAAAATCAGCGGAAAGAATTTTAGACATTTTCCAAATGTGAAGTAAATCTGTTTTTCTTGAAACAACTAACTTCTTTCACACAAAAAATTACAAAACAGGTATTGTGGTGAAATGTTGTTAAGATGGAAGGATTTTACACGATAACTTGTGTAGCTATTTGTAGTCACTTAATATATTTAAGCTTTTTGACAGTGATGAATGTGTACCAGAAAAGTGTATCAAAGGAAATTCTAATAATACTTGAAACGTGCAATATTGTGCATCCAATCTGTGGCTTGTGCTGTAAAATACTGAATTGCATATTTGCTTTTGAAATTGTGATGTGCCATAAGCTCTGTATTGTTCAGATCCAGTTTGTCAAGAACATATGTTTGAGCAATGTTTTCCTCCTAAGAGTTTCATTCTGTAATTGTGGATAAAATGGATTGTTTTTTTCCCCCCTTGTATCCTTAAATCTGAACAATTATTGCTGTTGATTTACAGTAAGAAGACAAATTAAAGTTCTTCCAAATAAAATAGTTTTCTCCTTGATCTGTTAGTGATTCACATTTTACATCTTTGCATAATTAGTTAACATTCAGCCCTGACACCATTCCACTCCTCCTCATCATTGGTGACCAAACGTTTAGCAACTGCCCCCAAATTCCAACACACCCTCCCTCTGGCATTCCATCTAACCCTCTCTATCTGTCTTTAAAAGCCGCCTCTAAACCTACCTTTTTGACCATGCCTGTTCCGTCCTTCTACCTCCCATATCCCTACTTGTTGTCCAGCACCATTTCTGTAGGAACGTAAAAATTGCTGGAAGAAAAAATACCGTGGTCCATCTAGTCTGTCTTGCACCATCCTGACAGTCACATGCTACAGAAATGGAGATGTTGGTAGCAATGAATTCTGTATGGATTAGTCTACCAACACAGTGGAAACCTTTCGAAACCAAAGCCAATTCTGGCCTGTAGTATAAATGTCAGCCTGGCTCAATTGAAAGCACTCTTGCTGCTGAGTCGGAATGTTATGGGTTCAATCCCCACATCAGGAATTTCAATTCAGTCAAGACTGACATTGCAATTCAGTGCTTCACAGGATAGACTGTAAAATGAATTGACTATTTTGTGGGCAAACATGGCAGCCAGTATCTTTAACATCCACCTCAACAAACAGTTGCATGAGAATGTAAAAACATGGAATGAAAAGAGGCCATCAAGTCTGCTCCTTCCATAAACCAAGTACAAATGGGCTCAATTTAATCTCCTAAATGGGAAGCAGCAAAGGCTGAACACATGTAGTGGGAAGGAAGAAATATCAGAGGAAGAGCCATGTGGATCAATCTGATGTCCTGTAATAGTAATAATAATCCTTGCATTTGATATAGCACTTTTCACGTCGGGAGGACGTCCCAAAGCGCTTCACAGAACACACTGTAAAGTGAATTGACTGTATATTTGTGGGCGAACGCGGCAGCCAATTGCACACAGCAATGTCCCACAAACAGTCGTAGATTGAAAATGACCAATTTATTATTGTTTTGTTTTGGAGGGATTATTATTAGGTATGTGGAGTAAGGAAACTTGCCCAAGGTTTCACCCTGCCTGGGATTGAACTCAGGTCACTGAGCTACAGGACTCCACAATTTTTAGGATGGAGCTGAACACGACCAGAAATTGCCCTGAAAACAAAAGAGCCCCAAAATGTACAGCATAGAAAAGGACTGTTCAACCCATCGTGTCTGCGCTATCAACGATCTAGATGAGGACATTGAAGTTAATATATCTGAATTCGCAGATGACACAAAACTAGAAGGAAGTGTCAACACAGAGGACAACATTAAAAAATGCAGCAAGACATAGATAGGTTAGGTGATTGGGCAGGTAGGTGGCAGATGAAGTATAATGTAGGGAAGTGCAAAGTCATCCACCTAGGTAGCAAAAACAGTAGAGGGGTTATTTTTTAGAAGGGGAGAGATTGGAATGTGTTAGTGTCCAGAGGGACTTGGGTGTTCTTGTACACCAATCACAGAAAGTTAGTCTGCAGGTGCAGCAGCAATTAGGAAGGCGAACGGTATGTTAGCATTCATTATGAAAGGATTAGAGTATAAGAGCAACTGCTGCAACTGTATAGGGCCCTGGTGAGACCACACCTGGAATACTGTGTGCAGTTTTGGTCTCCTTATTTAAGGAAGGACGTACTTGCTTCGGAGGGGGTGCAGCGTAGATTTACTAGGTTAGTACCAGGGATGAAGGGGATGAGTTACGAGGATAGGCTGACCAATTTGGGCCTATATTCTCTAGAATATAGAAGAATTGGAGGGGATCTTATAGAAACCTATAAGATCATCAAAGGGCATGATAGAGTAGATAGTGGGAGATTGTTTCCCCTGGTTGGAGAAACTAAAACCAGGGGTCACAACCTTAAAATCAGAGGCCAGCCCTTTCGCACTGAGTTGAGGAAGAACTTCTTCACTCAAAGGGTGGTGAATGTATGGAACTCACTACCCCAAAGGGCTGTTGACGCTCAGTCCTTGAACATATTCAAGACTGAGATAGATAGATTTCTTATTGCAAAAGGGATTAAGGGATATGGGGATAAGGCAGGGTCAGGTTATTAGCTGGAGTTAGATTAGAAGATCAGCCATGATTGAATGGCGGGGCAGGTTCGAAGGGCCGAATGGCCTACTCCTGCTCCTACATGATATGTTATGTTATGATAGAGCCTTTCAATCCCATTTACCCACCTTTTCCCACAAACGCCTGCAAATTATACCTTTTTAGGATATCTACCTAATTACCTCTTGACAACTAATATGATCCTGCCTTGACCACACGTGGCAGGGCTTTGCTCATTCTAACAACTGTCTGTTTAAATAAAAGGTCCTAATCTCCTCCTTTGCTCCTTTGAACTCTTA